CACTGTTAATTGGCATCGCATTGATGTTTAGATTTGACTGGTATTTCAAACTGATATGTGATGGCCTATTTAGTGTACTACAGAAGGGCAGAATGTTTATATGATGCTGGGCTACTGTGATAAACTGTCTGTATTTTATTCATTTTATTGCATTTATAAGCCTATACAAATAAATGTTATATTTCTCCATAATACTAATCCAAGTAGTCCCAATTTGAACACTTTACAGATGATTCTGTATCAACAATGGCAGATATGTACATGAAAAATAACGGATATCTGCATCAGCACACAGTTCCCATATCGCTGCATCCTTAATTTAATATTATAAAATATTAACAAAGAAAAAATATAAGCTTTCTTCCTGTATGATAATTATTAGGGATTTCCTTGAGATTTTAGAAAATCTCTTTGCAGAGAAAAGGGACATCATTTTTTGAAACACTAAAGACAGTTTCCCCTAAAATTCATAAAAATTTGCTGGAATACAAGCATTAAGAGGCAATCGGATAGCTCTGAATGATTTTGTTTTTACAATTAACCGAACAAAAGCTAATACTAAATGTATTTGGATAGTGATGTAGTTTAAAGGTCTAATCTTGAAGGATCAGTGGGAGGAAATGCAAACAAAAAACATTGTTACAAATTATTGTGGCTTTTACTTTCAATTACATGGAGTCTCAGCAGCCAAACCACTGTTTTTTTTCTTTTTGTCTGTAGGGAATTCAAGTGTGGAGTAATGCTAAAGAGTGCTTCAGCAAGATGTGAGTTGTGCCTACATCCCACTGCACAACCAAGCAGCTGTACAGACGTCTCAGGGTAAGAGTGCTGGTCTGGGATCAGTTTTTACCTTTAATTTCCTGATGAATACCAGTATGGACCAAACTGATCCAAGATGAGCACTCTTCCAGAGATGCTCTATACACATGGGTCCAAAGCACAATCTGAGTGTCATTGAAAGCACTGTTGCCACAGAAGCACACTCCTAATCTTGACCTAGGGAGCTGAACTCTTCTTCTGAATTCAGCATTCTCCTCTGCCACATCCACCTAAAGGCAACAGTATCAAAATGTGCTTAAAATATTAAAACACATACAATACAATAATGATTGGAGAAATTCTTATTCTGTTTATTTTCAGTCATGTTGACTGGTCTCGATTGGACCATCTTTTCATAATAAATGCCTAAACCGAAGCTTGGTTTGTGCCAGCTGTTGCACAAAGCATTGTTGGAATCACATTTTTCATTAACAACACAAATGTTATTGATAAACGCCAATCCTGGACAATGGACTGAAGGCCTTTTTTTTCCTTCCTAAATTTGACATCAGGATTTTTTTGTGTTTAATGATATTACTTATGCCTTTTCATGCAAATATCTGTGCTAAAGTCATTCCTCTTTTGTATATTTTATACTTCTTGAAGACAGCTGTCAATGATGTACCAAATAAAAAGAAAAGCATCTTCAGATCCAATTACAGTAGCAATTAGTCAGCACCAGAAAACCTTAAATGACAGGGACGTTTTTTTAAACAATTACATTCTCTCTGAACATTTGGAACGCATCCATTTCATTGAAACATGAAAGTGTAAAGTTATCATCTATACTTAGGACCTTATTGGTCAAATGTCCTCTGGATGTAAAGCATCCAGGATTATTCACATCTGTTAGTGCAGCGTTCACATTACAGCTGAAATCTCATCGCTGACATTCATCATAACATACTGTACACTCATCATTAGCACTGTCTGCACGTTTTGCTGTGAAATGCAAACTGTTTATAACCACTGACCCACTCCCTTTATGGTTCAATTAAGTGGAAAAGTATAAACCTGCCGTTTATGTCTAATCCGAGACCTTGCGCTGCATATTTTCTTTGTGGCTGCAGCTTTCCCTATGAATGCCAGATTTGTCATTTGCAATGATGTGTGGGTGGGTCAGTGTTTTGATATAAATCTGGCTGGAGGAACAGGAAGGTCACACAGGAAAAGCAGGATATAATAATTTCCTCATTTAACAGTCGTGTGTATAACTGAGCCTGGCCAGGCTCTACTGTTGGGTTCATTTTTTTGGTGGATTAAGAAGATGACTTTTCACTACACATATAAGAGCCAAATGTATTATAATTGCTGTTTAAAAATTTATTGTGCAAACACTAATAAATTTAAAATTTTCTAATATTTTGTTTGAGTCTTTTTGTTATTGCTAACAAACATGCAAAATCTGAAAGAAAAAAGGTCATCGTTTCACTGTATTTAGAGCTATAGAGCGCTAATTAGCAAAGACATTGTTTTAAATAAAGCCTGCCATCTGAAATTCTGGAGAATTTCCCAAGAGAAATGCAGTCCAAAAGTAGAGGGCAGCAGAGAAAGAATCATTTAAACAGCATCATAAAAAATAGCCTTAAGCTGTGTGGTTTTTGGAAAACCTCACTGAGGGCTGTTCCGAGAAGACTGAGTTGGGGTTATTAAAGTGCAGTTAGTTTTGTGAAACTTAAGGGTGTAACATAAAGCTTTGTCATACTAACTCATTTGTAGGTTCTCTTTAATAATAATAATATAATGTAAAATGTAATGAGTGTACATTTCTATCAGAATTTAAAGCAAAGTGCTACATCGCTGCATTTTGAGCTTTTTTAAAAGAGGTATTGAATAAATGCTGCCATCTTGTGTTGAAGTAACATCATCATTGTGTCTGAAAAGATCCCGTTTGTGATTAGTCTGCAAAAAAGAGTTGACTAAAACTATAAAAGCCTATATCATGGACCTAATAAGACCCTTGAATGAGAGAAAAGAAAATGATTCGCGACTTGGTTTGATTCTAGTTTAAAGAACAGACCACAAAAAGAGTGATAACCGAGGCTCATACCCCTTTAGAACAATGTCAGTTACCTGTACACTGTTAGAAATAAAGGTTCTGTGCAGGTACATTTTTTGTTCATCAAGATACAAACAATGTAAATGTACCTAAAAGTTACAGCAGTGGTTTTAAGGTCCGATTTTGTACCTTAAGTTTTCCCCCCCAAGTGAAAAGTACATATTTGTATCTTTTCATAACTTAATGTTTTAAACAGAATAATAAAATAAAAAGTCTGGAGATGAGACGGGGTGTGTGGAGTACAACTTAGAAAATGTAATTTCAGTGGATTATGGTACAGTTATGTCCCCTGACTGAAGGTACTAAGATCTGCCCTTGAGGGGACCACCCCAGTGACAGTTTCGTCTATTTTACCATATCTGTAGATAAGTTTAACAAGTATAGGGTAATGAAGCATAAACCAACACAGTTTGGGGGAATATATTGCCTAAGTATAAATTAATTACTCTCTCCACAACCCTTTAGATTCACACATCTCTCCCCCTCCTCCAGGGCATATAATGCATAGGTTGCTATCTATTGTCAAAACATTTGATCAGCTGACCTCAATAGTTTTCCAGGGGAATAAATCCCAGTGCCCTCCTCCAGATGAAATTTCAATTACTAGCCACTGAGTAAATGTGTTGAGCTTAAATTTGGTGCAATCATTTGATCAATAGAGAAAATAAGACAAAGGATATCTTACCCCCTGCGGTGGTTGTTCCCTCATGTTACCCCAAGTGTGGTGTTTTTCATTTAAATATTTCTTCCCTAACTCAAGACTGGCTTTGATGGTTGAGGCTTTATTTAGTCATTTCTACAATATTGAGTCTCCCCAGGAGGCTTACAGTGGGGCTTTGAAATTGCTAAAAATAACATATTCCAAAGTGCCAAGATACAAAACATGTTGGTTAGTCATTTTTTAGGTGTACCAGAACATTTGAGACATTAAAATTGGTATTGAAAGAACGCTTGTAGGCCTGGAGGAAAATCATGAGAAAATCCAGTTTTCTACTTTACTGGAGCCTCTCTCAAAATAGAATGCAGTACTGGGTAAAGGTCAGAGGTCATGCTACATTTTATTGTATTCAACAAATTATTAAAACATACATTTAACAGACAAGTACACAGAGGCCTCAATAGTATGTTCAGTGTTTAAAGTGTGTCCACCTGTTGCCATTATTACAGCTGCCGTTCTTGTTGTCTTTTCAGGAGAGTTGCTGTCAGTTTTTAAAATAAATCTGCAGGGATATTTCTCCACCCCTCCAAAGTCCAGTCTTAGGAGTTGGTTGCATTTTCTGGTTGTCACGTTCCAAGTAATTCCAAACACATTCAATGATGCTGAGGTCTGGGGAGGTCAGCCCATTGTTCTGAGAACACCAGCAGCTGCTCGACTTTTTTAGTAACAGCTACACAATCTTTAAGACTCATAGTGTTGAGTTGTTTTCTCACAGCGAAAAGATGGACAGAAACACCTGTGGATTTATTCAGATCCGAAGCAAGAGTGAGCTTGATTTTCTCTGACATGATGGTGACAGTTTGGGTGGTCTACCAGGTCTTGGATGGTTGTTAGGAGTCCTGTTTTCTTTTAATATTTTTTGCACTCCAGGTTTGGAAACTGTTCCCCCATCTAGTCTCCTCAGAAATATCTTCTGAAAAATGAATAACTTCTTCAATGGCCGCTGTGATTGGAAATGAATAAAATGAATGGTGGTCTCAGACTTTTGCACAGTACAGTGTATAATTGTTAAAAAACAAAGTTGTGTTCAGCGTATTAAGACATGAATCATTTGAATGGGAGATTTTCATTTTTGTAAGATATTTGTCAGTTTTAAGGCCTTGCTCATGTTCACCTAATTAAAGGCGTAATCAATAAGTAAAATCTGGTGACTGACAAAACATGCTAGTAGAATAGTAGGAAAAACTAAAAATAATAATAATAATAATAATAATAATGTTTTTAAAGTACAAAAAAGGAGAAAACTAAAATTGAGCAATGTAACCTCGGTAATGCCTTTATTTTTATTTGATTTACTTAAGACTATTAACCTCATCAGTTATAAGGATACTAGACATGCAGGTAATAAATACTAACAAGGCTACACACGAATTACTGTCTCAGATGAATTATTTTCAGTATGTGCGTGTGTGAGAATAGGAACTGATAACAATCTGAACAGCTTCTCTTCCCTCCGCAAGAAGACTTGAAAGTGCCAGACAGACACAGATTAGGCTGCATACAGAGCTACAGTACAGTACAGCTGGAATGTGGCTACTAGCACTGCGGCTAACCAGCTGCTCTCAGCCAGAGAAAACTTTTACAGGAAGATCATGACTACCGCTGTCACACCGCCACCGGCCCGGTAAAAAATCAAGAGAGGTACGTAGCCCAGCCTTAGAAATGAACGGCAGATCCTCGCCTGTGCTTCGCCCATCGAATATGTGTGTATGCTGTCGCGTTTTCCCCCAAAAACAACAAAGTGCAAGTTGTCCGCGTTAGCTAAGCGAGCGCTAGCTAGCTGCCTGCTTGTTTTGATGTCCAAGGCCTGTAACTGAACCCACAGTATCTTAGCTTAGCCAGGTAGTTGATGTCGGATGGTGATTAATCGTTTACAAAAAGCTTCTTCACGCACCCCATTTTACTAAAAGTGGTTTATTAAAGGCTGTTTTGGGGATATCATTAAGGGTATCTGACAGCCCCATGCATATATTCGCTGCTAGCGCTGCAGAGTTAGCCAGCTGCCTGGTTCTTGAGTATCTGAGGGAGGGAGAGAGCAGAGCGGCTCCGTGTCCGCGAAGCCTTCAGCCCGCTGTGATATTACTCGACTGCTAACCAGCTGCAGCTCGGATAGTTTCACAGCGCAACAAGCCGTTTCACTCACAGCTTGACTGACTAACAAACACACATTCTCAGCTTAGTTACCTGTCTAGCTAATATCAAAACTTGATAGGTTAACCCACTGTGCAAGGACACTGTCAGTCGCCAAATCGTTGTTAGGCTGTTTGGTTTTAAGTTGCTCAAAATGTTTACAAGGCCCTGGGATACGACACACTCTCTGTAATTTGCTGGTTAGCTGGGATTTTTCAGATTTCTGTCAGTCATCGCTTTTAGATTTTATTGTTTTATAATTCGAGGGAAACTTAACACCTTAAATTTGCACTTTTACTCTCTGAATCAGTTAGCTAGGCTTCCAAGGCACTGGGCAGTAAGACAGCTAACCTAGCTTTATGCTCTGTCAGTTGCAGGACTACATGGGAAGCCGTTTTAGCCTAAAATGACACCAGAGATACAAGTCATAACTCTGTTTTCAGTAAAATAAAAACGTATGTAAAATATAATTCTGACTAGTAGAATTATAGATATCTATAATGTAATTTTAACTAGTCAAATTTGTAATTTGCTAGTAAAAATGAAATTTTTACTGGTCAGAATTAACTTGCAAATCTGTTCAATGCATCTTTTTACTAGTAACAACAAATATTACAGATCTCCATTTTTAAAATGTCACTTGTTGATAGATAATTGTGATAACTGACTTTTTACTGGTCAGAACTTCAAATTTGTAGAAGACAACACCTCTTTTCTCTCATATTCTTAGTGCAGATTCCTTAGATTATATTTCAATATAAAAGTCACTCAAAGTCAATGGCAGGTTACTACCATGAAGTTTGTTAAATGAAATTATAACAATAGCCGCTCATTGTGTGGGGTTAAAGCCCTGTCATCCCACATGCAGCGCTCACTAACTTTGAAGTTTGCACAATGCACATGTCTGGTGCATGAGCAGATCTCTCGCCCACATTTACCTGCATTTGGCAAGAGCCGGGAGATACTTTGGCTTTCATGTTGATCTATCAATGGATATAATAATGTATTTTTTCTTGGATTGCAAAATTGCTTCCCTGCTAATGCATTTTAGCTTATTTGGTTACTTTTGGATTAATCTTTCATTTTTTTAATTTGTTGGCTGCACAAGATATAGATTTTAACCTGGACTAGGCCAGGAAAAAGGACTTTGAAGAGGCCTAGTTTTCACTTAAACTGGAGGAAGCAAAGCAACCTATCCGCAATAACTGGTCTCAAAAATAACCTGCTGTTTATTTACACTGGCGCCTCCGTGAGACACAATTAACAGCAGGCCAGTTAACCTACTTTTAAAATGATATGGTGCAGTACAACTAGATCTAAAATAAAACCGAGATAACAAAATCACAAATTAAACTTTGTTTCTAACTTTAGGGTCCAGTCAGCCATAAAAATGTCATGGCCAGTAAAGCTACTTGGCATGATTGGCATAAAATACTTTTGATCATTTAATCTTCTGGTTTTGTCGATGTTCCTGGAGCACTCCAGTCACTCCCTCACTAATGACCCATTCAGATTCTTCCTTTACCCTTCATTCCTCTCCTTCTCAACTGCCTTCCATCTGGTGCCCTGCACTGATTTGCTGCATACATACCACCCTTTTCCCGCCTAATGTCGCTCTCATAAATATGCATGAAGTGCAAGTCTCATAGTTGTTTGTATATTCATTAAACCATTGGACAGATCTGAAATGTAATTTTGACTACTAAGAATTAGAATTGTAGAACTCAAAAACTATATTATAAATCTCAAAAAATTCATTGAAGACATCTGTGAAGTTATTATGACTAGTCTTAACTTTAATTTTTGATATTTTAATTACTCAATCTAATGTAGTTCATACTTAAATCATAATTACATGTTTTTTACATACACAGAGTTAAAACATAGTTGTCATTAGTCAAAGCTGCATTCTGACTAGTTATAATTCTAGATTTAGATATATATATATAATATTATTCTTACTAATCAAAAGAGAATTCTAGATATCTACAACTTTATTTTAGAGATCTGAATCAATACATCTCTCTTATGCATATTATAACTAGTCATAATTAAAGATATCTCCTAAATTAGTATTCCTACTAGTGAAAATTCAATTAGGAATATGTGGACCTGGATTTTTTACTAGTCTAAATTAAAGTGTAGATATCTGGAATTGTATTTTTACTAGTACAAATGTTATAAAATTAATCATAGATAAAACAGAATGAAATTCCATGTAAATCAGTGGTAACATATGACTAGTCAAAATTACATTATAGTTGTCATCCTGGCAATATGACTAGTCAAAATAGTTTTATAGATGTTGTGTACTTATTATTATGACTAGTAAAAAATGCGTAGTATATATCTGGAATTGTAGTTTTTATTAGTTGAAACTGTATTACAGATCTCTCTAATTTGAGTTTTTACTAGTAAAAACAGTTACGACCTGCATCACTGGTGTCACTTTAGGCTAAAACAACTTGCCGTAGGACTCCAGTTTTTTCATAGGTCTAAATCAGATCTAAAACAAGTTTAGGCCTAAAATTTAAGATCAGTAGATCCAGTGTGTGTTTTAGAACAGTGATTTTATATTTAAACAATTGTTTTTGTAGACTTAATTATTTGTCAATTAATTTATTTTATTTTCTTGGTTTATTTCTGACCATCACCAGATTTAGAATACATTGTCTTGCTCAAACATTGTATTTGACTGTATTTCAACCTTCAGTTAGGCTGACAGAGGAGTCATATCCTCTGGGCAACTGGAGGGACTCCTGTCAAGAATACTCAACAGGTCAATGACTGTCAGCCCTTTTCCTGGAACGTAGCCACAGCTGAGTAACTTACAAAGATGAACATCGATGACAAGCTTGAGGGAATCCTGATTAGATGTGGCACTGTGGGCCTACACCACTCGACAAGAGCCCTGGCACCCTCCGGGGTGGACAGAAGAGGAGGAGGCTTGGATATGTCTCTTGGAGAAAAGGGCTTGGCCAATCAGCCCCTTCTTGCAGAAGATGATGATGACGATGAGGAGGAAGAGGAAGAAGACCTGGCCAGAGGGACACTGACCTCACACGACCTCATCTCGCATGACGAACTAATGGTTCATGAGGAGACTGTGAAGAATGACGCAGAAGAAGACCCAGACTTCTCCCAGCGGCTCTCAAATAAGCTACCATACACACTTCACATGCCCGTGAGTTCACTCTGCTTTATATGGTTTTATTTACGTGAAGGTAGGCAAGACTTGTGTTAGATGACACCAGACAGTTGTAACTTAGCATATATTGGATTATTTTATCTTCACATTGCCCTAAAAGTATAATGTGTCTTTTGAAGTTTTGTGTTTTTTTTTGTTTATTTTTTCTTTTTTGTCTTTGTGTTTTAGTCCAGAGCTTAGCTAAATATGTGTCTTAACAAAAAATTCAGTGTATTTAAACTAATTCATATACCTGTGAACTTGTCAGGTGAATATTAAACAGGAAGTGAAGCTGTCAGACTCACTGATTCTCAGCAAGAAGGACAAGAAACAAGGCAGGGATCCTGTAGAGTGCCTGAAAAAGAAGAAGAGAAAGCAGCGATCCCCAGCAAAGGTAGCCACATGGCATAGGCTTCTATGGTCAAAATACATCATGTGGACTTAACTGTCACTGAAGCTTGTAAGGAAAAATAAGAATACGTTTTTGATTGTTTTGCCTACATTGCAGTGCAGGATCTAATTTTAGAAGAACAACACTTCTTCAAGCATTATTCTTTTTAGAATTGTAGCATTGATGGTTGAGAATTGAACAAATGTGAAATCGCTTAAATTGCATTAAATAACATTATCACACTATTAGATTCTCACCATTAATGATGATGGGTCGCTGGGGCATCAGAGTCCGAAGTCTCATATTTGTGAGCACTGCAATGCTGCTTTCCGAACAAATTACCATCTACAGAGACACGTCTTCATTCATACAGGTAACATAAACTGTTGCACACATATTAAGCATGTTTAATAAGGATTGACTTGGCATTTGTGTTTTAAATTTTGTTTTTTCCTCTGCTCATTTCGTTTTAAAACATACTTTCTTCTACAGGAGAGAAACCTTTCCAGTGCAGTCAATGTGACATGCGTTTCATTCAGAAGTACTTGTTGCAAAGACATGAGAAAATTCACACAGGTAAGAAGAAAACATTCTAAACTATTAGATTTGTCCACATTGAGTTCAGACCAGAAAAGCTCTGGTCTGTTTGAATGTGTAAGTTTGGACAAACACATTTGAAATGCATATGAAATGCTTATTAGGTGGTAAGAGTAAGGGAGGTGGCTTGTTTCTCTACAATTTAACCAACTTTCATCTTCTCCTATAGGAGAAAAGCCTTTTCGCTGTGATGAATGTGGAATGAGATTCATTCAGAAGTACCATATGGAGCGACACAAGAGGACACACAGTGGGGAGAAGCCCTATCAGTGTGATTACTGCCACCAGGTTACAATAATGCAATTTTCACATTTCTCAACAAGTCTCATAAAGTTTCTCAGTCCTGTCATGTTGTGCAGCTCATTGTACCTTTTGAAACCTCTAAAAATTACCACTCTTTAGATCAGAAACTAGTGTTGCTTTTTTATTTATTTTTTTTAAGAATGCATGTGATACTTCTGATGTACACTGAAGATGCAGACTAGTGTAATTTTTCCCATAGTGGGGAAAATAATGGTTTTGAATATCCTTACATTTTTATCTATAAATCTCAAGTCATTTGGGCATCTATTCATTATATCCACAGTACTTCTCCAGAACCGATCGAGTCCTGAAGCATAGACGGATGTGCCATGAAAACAAGGAGAGAAAAGCCCATAAAGCAGCTGCCAAAGATGGACTTCTGAGCAACACAGAAACACTGGCATTCTCTTTCACTTCCAAGGAGTGCACGCTACCCAAGAAAAAACGGCAGAAGTCCACTGATAAAAACCGCACCTTGGCTGCAAACCCTGGTGTGGCAGTAGCGGAGGGTGCTGGTAAGGATAAGACAGAGGAGAAGACAGAGGATAGGCTTGCCAAGAATGAATGTCTTCCTCTCTATGCCGTGGCCACCAAGGTGAAGGATGAGTATGTAGTGGCAGAATATTCAGTTGAGCTCCCGGATTCCTCTCCAGGAAACAGGCACCTTACAGAGGAGGTGTCTTCTGATGAGATCATCACTCCTCCGAAGTTGGTGCTGAAGAAGATTTCCAGCAAGAAAAGTGTGAAGCAGCAGCCTTTAGAACAGCCCCAGACTCTTTCTCCCTTGTCTTCATTTGAGGAGGGAAAAGTCACAAGATACACATTTGAGATTGTGGATAACAAGGGTCTATTGGATGTAGAGCCAAGCTCTGACTTGGAGAGTGTTGATCCCCTCCATGGTGGGCCAGCAAAGCCAGCTGGGAGCAGCACAAACTATGATGATGCCATGCAGTTTCTCAAAAAGAAGCGTTACCTCCAGGCAACCACGGCTAATAACAATCGGGACTATGCCCTGAATGTGAGTAGCATCTCTTCACAGCCCTCCATCACTCAGGCAGCCGTTGCCACTGTCATAGACGAGACTGTTCCTGCCACAATCCTCTCTGAGACTCAGACTCTGAACGTGGAGATCAAGACAAGTAACGAGAAGAACGTCTTCCCAGACGAAGTCCTGCAGTCGCTCTTGGACCACTACTCCAACAAGACCAATGGGCAGCCAGAGATCAGCTTCAGTGTAGCAGACACAGAGGTGACCTCCAGCATCTCTATCAATTCATCTGATGTTTCTGAGAGCAGCCCTACTGAGGCCTTGGGGACCAGTTCCCAAGCGCCCCCTGCAGAGAAAGCCAGCCTTCTTCAGGAGTATTCAAAGTTTCTCCAGCAAGCGTTGGAGAGAACCAGTCAGAACGACAGCTACCTGAACAACCAGAGTCTTACATTTGTAACTGATGGCGCCAGCCTCGCCGGGCAGCCCTTGTTTTCTACAGACAAACAGTTCACTTCCTCGAGTCGGTTTAGATCAGGCATGAACTCTCCTCTGAGATCAACCTTGGAGAAACCTCACTTTGGTCTTTTAGTAGACTCTCAACATTCTTACTCATTTTCAGGCGATGAAACTAACCCCTCTTCAGTGTCACCAACAGAGGACTTTCTGGAGCAGGTCTCGTCCCCCAAAAAGATGGACTCTCAGGGCATCGGTCAAACATTTCAAATAGCCACTTTTGACCAGAACTTCCGATCTCAGTTCCAGACATCCCGGTCTGGACTGTCATCGCAGTTTAATGTTGCCAATGGACAGGTCAGCCTAAGAAGTCATGGTGGAACAGACTTCCCAGAATTCCCACTAGTTAATGTTACTGAGACCAGAACTCAAATAACCTCATCTCCAGATGCTACAAGCAGCCAAACTTTTGGCTAAAGAAAGCTATTTAAAATTTCAGTTGTTTTTAAAGCACTTTATACTCCTGGTCTCTGGTTTCTGCGAATATAGGCACCTCCTCAGATGTTGATCTCTGAGCAAGTGTTTCATTAATCAGTCACAGGTGGAAATCATCTTAGCAAGTAGATTTTGTTTTGCAGCACATTTTGTTCTTACTAGTCATGTAATGTTATTCTATATATGTAATTCAAAGGCACTTTTTCCTAAAAATTTTCTTCATTCCTTTTTTTTTTTTTAATTCAATAAGTAGGCAGTACATCTGCAACACCGACTGCACAAGCAATCTCTCCACGAGAGAGTTTACCTTGTTTAAAGGTATAGGCAGATAAACTCTTAAATTTGAAATGGCCTAATAATTTTATATAATGAAATTATGTAACTAAGATATTTTTGCACATTACTCTGAAGGTAAAATATCAAAAAATCAAAAGAAAGCTCTTGCAGTACAATTTAATTGGTATATCTGAGATAATCAGTGTATTTGTATATAATTGATTAATGCCTATTACCTTTGTACAAAAAAAAAAACATGCCAGTGAGACTTGTACTGTATCCACCCATAGAATTTATAAATGGTGACATGATTTCAAAGTTTCCACAGCACATGGGTACTGTAGAAGACACTAGTTTAAGCAGTTTAGTCACTCTCAGAGATCAATTAAGAGGAATGGAATACAGTTACATTCAGATACATCATTACCTCAGATACGTCATTAATACAGATTAATTAACAAAGGTTTAAGGATTTTCAAGCACATTTCAGGAGTGCATTTTTAATACTCTTGATTTTGAGTGGTATATGATGTAGGCCTGCTTACGCAATTAGTTTTGTTTTGCATGTAGTGCCTTTTTGGTGTGTTTGCTGATGCAAAATTGAATATTCATAACATTCCTTCTTTAACTGCCTTTCTCTCTTTACTGCTTTTTGGTTTAGAAGTGACATTGACAGCAAAGAGACTAGATTTAGTTGTTAACCCATTAAATGTGCACTTAGGCCTTGTAGGGAAAAATCCACTGCTTTGTATCATAGGTTTTACATTCATACCTGAAGGACTTAATGTTATCATATAATGTAATCATTTTTGAAGCACCTTTTCCCCCATCATTACAGTGATGTAGACATTTGACCAGGTCAGAGGCAGGCAATGTCTTTAAACGAGATGACATTCTCTTCTTGGTAGTTATCAAGTAAAATTTTGTTTTAATCATATTTCTTATGAACTAAAAGATGCATTCTTTATGTCTAGCTGGAATAAAGGGTTGAAGTGCATGATCTTGATCGTTGGTACAGCTGCATTTATATGGTCTTGGTAAACATAGTTGTGTTTATTCTACATCTTCAATATTGATCTAACAAATAATCATGTATATGAAATGCTTTTGTTGTTTATATTTTCTGTTTGTTTCAGAATTTGTTTTGCGTGCTTGTGGAAATGTCTTAACCAGGTTCATAACCAGCTGTACTTCACCTGGATTTTGCTTTTTTTTTTTTCCTCTTTATGCCTATAGTAGTATCATGCCAAACTACAGACTACATGGAAACTGCATTGTAAGCTTATTTTGAATCAATACGATCCATTTACAATCAGGGACAAATACAATCCTTGTTCTAAATTGCTGTTACTCTTATTAATTCATTGTAAACATTCCTACATTTTATTGTCAGTAGACATCTGATGTGTATTGTTGTAAATAAGTTGTATATTTTGAACTGTACATTTTGTTCTGTGTATGCGAAGAGTGAGACGGGCAAGTTGGAGATATTTGGGATCTCTGAATTTTTACATGAATGTACTCTGTCGATTCAGTCAGCATAATCCTGTTGGTTCTGGCTCCACTGAGCACAGCTCATGTATCTGTTGACTCATAGTGATTGGGTTTCTCTCTCTCTCTCTCTCTGAAGTTGAAATACCACTTTAGTTTGGAAAGCATTTTCAGGTCTTTAAAGCCTGTATTTGTATTTGCACCTATTTAAGAACTGATTGGAAGCATTATTTATAAAATCACTCAGCAGATATTAAATCTCTTTAAGGGGAGTCATCTTAGTTGCTATTCCACATCAGATCAACAGCCACGATACCCATAAGTGCTCCTTAAATCTTAAATGTGTTGAAAAGATGGACTGAAAGGTATTTCATTTCGCTTCATCGGACGGCTGTGTTGATCTTTTCCTTTCTTACTGCCAGGAAAAAGCTCAAAAACAGGCATACACAACTATCCTGTCATCTTCCCCCTTATTTGATTTCTAAAAATTGGAGTCAAGTGAGCAATGGTACTGATGGATTCATTATTATTCTTGTTTAGTTTGATGCGATTAATTACTGTTAAACAGTGATGGTTTCTTAATTTCTTAATAGTTTTAGACATTTTCCATTTGATGGGGGGAATGCATGTCCACTGTTTTTTTGTACACTGGTTATATTTTTATATGTAATGTATGCATTTTATTGTAGCCAAAAGATTTCCATAGAATACCTTTACTTTTATGCAATACTATGTATAAGATGTGGAAAAAGAGATTTGATTGGTTTTCTTTTCTTGTGTGTTATGTCCTTTCAAATACAATAACAAAAAGATTCAGTGCTGTTTTTTTTTTCCTTTTGTTTATCTTTGCTTTTCTGAAACACTAAATTTTACCCTTTTTACGTCTTAATAATTCATAATTCACATGTTTTGTTGTCATGTTTAGTTTGAAAGTATTGTTAGGCTCCATTTATGGCTGCCATATGTCAATAGACAGTGTCAATAGAGGCTTTCCTTCTGTCGACTTATTTGCCTGAACACCAATGTGTACACATAATGCGCTCAGCAGAGAAATGTCCATATTGATAAATGCTATTTCTTATTATTAAGTGAATGCAGATAACTCTACCAGACCCATTTTAGCTCCCTGAGCTAAATATTCGTGAAAGCGGCCACCATCTCAAGGATATGTTGTTGGTGGGTGACGTTTTGTCCTCAGAGAATATTTAAATATTATTTGTACGGAGACACAGTCAGTCTGTTAGTGCTAAATCGTGGTACATAATCTGTTAACAGCGTTCTTACAGGTCTCTGTGTGTTATCACAGCACAGACGCTCATGGTCGTCAGTAATTCTCGCTGTGGTGTAAAAACAGCCCAAAGCTAACAGTCCCAAAGAGCTTAGCCATGTCGTGCTATGCTTGTGAACACACCTTTACAAAACATTTGTTTAATGGCGTCCCGCTAACGCACACGTAGCATTAGGATATTCAGAGAGTGAAGGCCCTGCCCAAGGTTAATGAGGCCAGCACTGAAACTAAAACCAGTTTGTAACTGAAGTGGTAAAAGGTACTCGGTATTTTTTTTAAACAGTGTGAATTACAAATCTATTTTCTGTCATAATATGGATAAACGTCTTCAGAAGCTGGACAACCGGTAAGGCAGTGTTGACTTATGTCTTGACAAATAATAGTCCACTGTACGAAAATGTACTAAATAAACGAGATAAGTCGTTTATATTTAGTGAGTGGTGTTATTGAATAATTTACTTACACTCTGCAGGTTATGTTAAAGGAGAACTCCACCGACTTTTCAGAATTTCTGCATCATTAAATGGTTAACAGGTCAGCAAAGTCATTCAGAGTAGTTTGCTCTGTTCAAGAGAAAAGTCAGAATTGTTCGCAGACGTCTGAGGAGTTAAATGCCTCTTAAAGCTCCCTCGTAGAAAGTTATTACATGAAATGGTGATGAATTCCTGCCTGCTGTCTGACATATTGTTTGAGTTTTGTGATACATTTTTGGTCTAAAACGTAGTTCAATCTATTCATGGTGGAGGGATACATGAAGGGTGTTCTAAGGCAAAACAGTCCCCAAGGACAACTTTTTTTGGATTTGACTTAAGCATCTAGAGAATAAACTCCAGTTAGACTAACTGGTGAAAGCTGTTAGTGTTTTATTAAATAAAACATTGGTGTAAAGTGACTAGTATTTTAAACATGTGTTTATTTCTACTTTTTCATATGTTAGTTTTGCCCAAGAGGATTAACAGGTTTGAGGTTCTTTCCTCTACCTGCCTCTTTACCTTCGGTCACGTGCGCACCTGCTCGAGTGACGCGCGCGCCCGCACACGCCTCGCGCATCCGGGAGCCAGTGGCGAGAAAGAGAGAGAGAGACAGAGAGCGGCTCTTGGCTTCATGGAGGCCTGGATTTAAAGGTATTTCTTATATATAATTTATCAGCTGAACTTAGACTTAAATGTGGCCAGTTTGCTGAGAAGTTCTAATATATCAACGCTCTATCAAAGGAAACGACCGCTGTTGACAAACCTGGTAAAACTTTGTCATTTCTTCCACCTCATAGTTTACTTGTGAAGTGAAACGTTTTACAGTGATACAATTTATTAAATTAAATGTGCTGTTCGTAAAGCCGGGCTTTGCAAATGCTGTGGTGATGTAGAATATGTTCTCCTTTGGTTAATTAATAGTTTAAATACGTAACTCATTAACAGTTGGCAGCTTTTACTGAAAATCATGTCAGTATTTTCTTTATCCGTAGTAAACATAGTCTTTAAATTACATGGTTTGAGTTGAGATTCACTGAAATGTCTGAACAGTGTGAAATCACCCCAGTGGCTCTGTTAAATCTGTAGTACTTGTGTTAGGGGTGGGCAAAATGAATATTCATCATTAGAGTGACAAATATTACGTCACAATTTGTCACAGTATGCTTTTCTGAGCATGTTGTGGATAACATAAGTACTTGAAGAAGACACTGAATGACTGCATGATTCATTACAAAGATTAATTAGTCCAGTTTATTTTGATGTACTGCAGGACAGTATGTGAAATATTAAATACAAATCATTATATTTTTAATGTGGCACTGCTGGTTCTTTTTTGTCTGAAGCAACTTATTAAACCTCAGAAAAAACTTTTGTGATGCATATTGTGTGTCATGTCTTGAAGCATCATAGTATTATATTGTGCCATATCCTTCGCCCCTAACTTGTATCCTAAGTCCACTATGCAGTGTGTCATATGGGTTCATATTCTGAGTCTTGGTTCCTCTCAGAGTTTCTTCCTCATGTTCTCTAGGGAGTTTTTCCTGCCGTTGTTGCTCTTGCCCGTTAGGGGTCTGGACCCGAATTTCTGTAAAGCTGCTTTGGAACGATGCTTGTGTTTAAAAGCTCAATGCAAATAAAACAGACTTAAATTGAATATAAATTATGTAGGTTATGTGTCGACAGAGCACTTTTGGGTGACATTTTCTTTCTCTGTGCACACAGCCAGTGAAACACCCAGGCATCCACCTGGACCCCTCAGTCTTTCTCATGAGGATGATGTCATATTGTTGAGGTCTTGGACAGGAGGCAACATGAGTACACACGTTCAAGAGTTATTTCATGAGAATGCCCAGGTAGTTTTCTTCCTTTGTTATTTTTCTTTAGAGAAAATGATAATTGCTGAAGACTAGTAGTTAATATTTGTTTTTAGCTTTAGGTATGAAATCTGTTGCTTAATCGCTGGTCATAAACACTGGGTCTGTGCCTCTGTATTTTCAAGCAGGGCTCTCAGATGCATGCTCAGCCATGGTGGAAGGTGAAGCTGTTTGTGTGGGAGCCTGTGCTCTTTGGCACCTGGGATGGTGTCTTCACCACATGCATGATCAACATTTTTGGAGTTGTGCTCTTTCTTCGCACTGGTTGGCTTGTGGTAAGTAACAGACACTAGTTTTCCTCATTTGGTAAAGGGGTGCACGGCTGCAGGGCTTCCATTTGCATACTGCAAATATGCTGTGTATCCGATAAATGCTTTAGGGAGACACTTATTAAATATTTTTTTTTACTGTAGTCAGTTACAATAAACTTGGGTAGCTGGATTGGTCTGCCTGTTTCATATTCCTGGTACAAGTAGGCAAAATGGCAATTTTGTAAATTTTGACATGAATGGAATCTGTTTGTAATGCACCAATTAATTAATTAATTAATTAATTAATTAATTAATTAATTAATTAACTAATTAATTAATTAATTAATTACTTACTTACTTTCGTTCTTAGGGAAACACTGGGGTGTTACTGGGAATGCTTCTTGTGTCACTGGTGGTCCAGGTTGCCCTGGTGACAGTCATGTCAGGTATTGGGGTTTGTGAGCGCTGCAGTGTTGGCAGTGGGGGCGTTTATGCAATGATCTCCACGGTTCTCGGAGGAAGAGTTGGAGGCACTGTAGGGCTCCTCTATGTGTTTGGACAGGTGAGAAGATGCACATCACTCATTGTCATCCATGAGCAAAAGTATCCGCTGTTAACTCGGCATGATCTTTGTCTTTGCTCGCTCTCAGTGTGTGGCTGGAGCCATGTACATCACAGGCTTTGCTGAGTCCATAGCTGACGTGCTGACTGTGCAAAGCGTGTGGGCTGTCAGAGGGATCTCCGTGGCCGTCCTGCTGGCCTTGCTGGGGATCAACCTGGCTGGCGTGAAATGGATTGTCCGACTGCAGCTGATCTTGCTGGCCATCCTGGCAGTGTCCACTCTGGACTTTGTCATTGGAACCTTCAGCCATTTGGATCCAGGTATGTGGTCAAAAGCTTAGCAGAACACTAAATTAATTTGTTTCTCAGATCTTTGAAGTCGTATTGAAGCACATTTAGTAGGTTTTGTTTTATTGGCCATCAGTGATACAGGAGTTCATTTTGATCTCCATAGGCTGCTTGTTCAAGGTTATGTGATGAGAAATGGAGAGTGTGGCATTTGTTTTTTAACCTGATGTCATGAAGCCAGAACTTGATCAGTTCACATAGATATATTTTACTTACAGATTTTTTTGTAAATGAATACAGATTTTGATTGAATTGGTCTAGAGATTATAATCACAGTATAAAAGATTAGAGATTATAAGGATTTACCAGCACAAATGGAAATGGCCTTTTTCTATTTTAGGTACTCACTTGAATCCTGCTTCCTTGTATTTTGGTTGTAAATTGTCTGAGCTCTGTTTCTTTCACTGAGTTGTCCAGTAGGTGTCAGTGTGGTATTGCTAGGACATTCCTTTACATTCTTTTTTAACTTCATTCTTGTCAATAGAAAAAGTAGAATTATTCCATTTGAAATTTCTTTCAAAGTGATGTCCTTACATATTTAGACTATGTATGTTCCTGTCCGGTAAGCTCTGCAGGAATTGCAGCCAATTTTGTTCACAGTCTTCCCATTAAGGGCACTATAAGTAAGTAATAGGACAGTTGGCTATCCAGTTATCTCTTGGCTAGCTATTTGTCATTGCATTAATGGTTAATGCACAAGCTAACAAAAGGTCTGGAGATGATTCTAGAAGTTGTGTTTTCATTTGAAGTCTGTTGCTGTTGTCTCTCAATATGAGAATCAAAAGCATGTCAGAGCCATCAAAGCAGGTCTTCACCAGGCTGATAAATCACAAAAAAAAATTAGAAACGGAGCTAAAACATTAGGTGGATCAGAATTAGTTCTGGGCAATATTGATACAATTAAATCACAATATTATCATATCAGATCATAATTAGGATTGAATTAATAAAGTTTACTAAAGGTTTGCTGATTTGTTGATTTTGTTCACTGTTTCATTCTTTTAATTTTACAGCAAAGGAAACTTTACACAGTATTTTCCATAATAACTAGTCACAAACCACACTGACAGAAAGAAAACTTGCTCATAAAAAAAATGTATGGATTTTTAAATGTTCTTTCAAAGCAATCTGAAGCACATAGCAAATGATATATGTTGCAGGCAACTGTCCGGCCCTGGATACCATGAATAATGTGCAGTAAATAAAATGTAACATTTTGATAAAATTTAAAATCTAAAAACAAGCCACTTGGCAGAAGGAACGCTTCTGTTTTATGGCCATTATACTGTAATGCTCATTAGCCATCAAATATATTTCTAAGAATATTGCTAAAACCAAAAAGCAATGTCATGAAAATATGGTTGATTGGTATAGGTGATATATTTCCCAGCCCAAATCAAAATCAGTTGTTTGATGTTTTGTTGTGAAGCAAAAATAGCTTGGCAATTGCAAAGATCTGTATCTGTTTTTTTAAAAACCAGCTGTTCAGCACATCTCTGGGATGTAGAGATCATTGTAAAGAGAAGAATATGTCACCAGCATGACCTCATAGGGTTTACTGAAAGATGCAGATCACAGATAAGCCTGTAGAACAGAAAGCCCAGGTTGATTTTTGCATAAGTACATAAAAAAGCTTGTAGAGTATTAATGGAAAGATGCAATGAAGACCAAATGATTGAATGAACAATGATTGAATTGAAGGAGAAAAATGGAAACTCTCAGAATCCGGAGTATAATGCTTGACCCATGTAACGTACTGATATGGGCATACATGGCTGCCAGTGTTTTTTAAAGGATGTGACTACTTATGGCAGCAGGATAGTTTCTGAAGTGTACAGAAGCATCTTTATGGCTCACTCAGGCATTGCAGTATCTAAACTAATTGCTTTTTATTACTTGATTGTTTATTTTATCGTTTTATTATTTGATTGTTAAAAGTTACCTTGTGCTTAAAGTAACTTGTGTAAAATAGACACTGACAGACTGCTCAAGTTTAGATTTTACTTGGAATTTGACAAATGCTATTATTTTCCAAATTTCAGATATTCCAACATTATTTTACTGATTTTATTTCCTTTACCACTCAAGAAAAAATGCAAATAGAATGTGTATATCTTTAATGTGTAAGACATTTACAAGCCAGTTTTTAATTAGCCATCTCAAAGGGGAATTCCTCAAGTCCTTCTTAAAATTTCTCTATAATTAAGATGTAAGCAAAGTCATTCAGTATGTTGTATGTTGTTGTGAAATGCTCTGTTCTAGAGAAATTTAGAGTCAGACTGGTTCACAGTGGTGGTGATAGTAACCAGACATCTGCAGAGTTTAATGTTTCTTAAAGCTCTCTTACAGAAAGTTATTACATGAAATGGTTACAAATTTGTTACCGGATGCCTGAAACATTGTTTTATGATAGTTTTGAGAAAATGTTTTTAAATGCATGCATGATGGAGGATTACATGCAGGGTGTTGTACAGCAAAACAGTACCCAATGTCAATCTATTTTTTTTACCACTGTTAACATTATCAACACTACATATAAAAACTCAGAAAACACATGTAGCTTTGCTACTCATTTTAGATGTATGTATTTCATAAATGAAATGCCTATATCCGTGTTGTAAAAATCACAACTCTTGGCTCCTGTTGCCACCACTGTAAAGAAATCCAAGTCAATAAGAATTTTTAAACATTTGTGGAATTCACCTTTAATGAAGTATGCTGAATGCTATAAAACTATGATATTGCTAGTAAGTAAAGGGACTGGGTTTAGACTTGAAAGACCACCCTGCGTCCTGTGTTATGTTTACTCAGGAGTCTTGTGTGCTGTTGTGTGTCGAAGGAAGGGGCTGAGCTCTAACGGACGTGGCCAGTCTGTACTTTCACACTGGCTCTTCAGGAAGTCCATCCCAGTTCTTCCTGTTCTACTGATTACTGATTTCCTGTCCAAAGTGGAGAAAAGACTTCCATAAAGATGATTCTTTCTGCCTCTGTTTCTCTCTCTCTCTCCCTCTCGCTCTCTCTCTCTCTCCCTCTCGCTCTCTCTCTCTCCCTCTTGCTCTCTCTCTCCCTCTCTCCCTCTGTGAGCTGAACAGTAGGATTTCAAAATGACAAGAGGGGATTTAAAGCAGTACTGAAATCCTATGAATGTGAAACATTATCCCTTTGGCTACTGTTGCTGCTGTTGCTCTCATACGTATGTCCCACGCATCTGGTTAACTCCTTTAGGATCTGGGCCTGAGTCCAGGTTCGTAGTTTGGGTTGGTATGGGAAATGGAAGTTCCTGGTTTGTCCAGGTTTTTCCAATTAGGGCTCGTGGTAGTGGAGTGATATCACTGCTGGCATGGTGCCAGCGGGTTCCATGGCCCTCGGTGGGCGCCACATGGGCGGCTTACCTGCCTGTGGCAGGAAAAGAGGGCTGCCACGCACATGTGTTTACAATTCGATAACGGTGTTAATCAGACAGTCAAGGCCGGCTCACTGGCATGGACACAACTGAATAACTTTCTACAGAGAGGCTAGATCTCTCTCATATGTGCTAGGTGGCCCTAAAACTGTGGAAATTAATCTTCAGCCTGTTAAAATCTCTGGGACAGTAATTCAGTAAAGGGGGAGGGTAGAAAGTCTCTGTGTAAACTGCTTACCCTGCTACCTGCACTTATCAACTTACAGCCTCACTTGTGTTGAATCATTCTTAAAATGTTATGGCTGGAAAACATGAGGAAGTTATGAGCGATATCCTCCTGAGATTTCCTCTCGATTTCATACCATTGCAATGAGCACACTTGTTCTGGAGGCCAAAATGGGTGGGGTGGGTGTGTGTGTGTGGGGGGGTATAATATGCTCTCACACTTTCTGCGTTGTTCCAGGGTGTTTTTGTTTTTTGTAAGTTGATGATTTAAAACTGTACTTTTCATTTTATCTTATTCTTTTATTTCTCCCTCCTGTACTTCCATTTAACATATAACAAGTCCCACAGTGCAGTCAATGAGCCTATTATTGACCTCAGTGAAAGACACAGACTTAGAAGGACTTATTCTTCAAAAGAGTTTTTAAACGGGGTGTATTAACACATTTTATGACTGACAGTAATTTCTGTCCAGTGTGTTAAATGGTAGATTTATTTCAAAGAGTCAAAAGCAAGGTTATAGTCAAACTGCTTTTTGATTATATCTCATTGATAAATCTGCTCTTAGGATAAAATGTTCTGCAATAAGATGTGCAAGACCTTCAGTTGCAGCATCCCAGATTGGACAGGAAACTTGTATGCGCTCATGGTTTTGGGTTTAGGGTGTTAACTGGGCTCACCCACATATTTGGCCTGGGACAAAAGAACAGGCAGGAAGTAGATCGGAGCACTTTGCTTGAAGCCTCCACATCATCACTTCCTGGTCCGCAACTTCAGATGAGAAGGGCGCCCACTATAAATAGCTATATATGAAGTCTGCCTTCCAAAGATGTCAGAGAGGGTTGTATTAACACATCTACTTTGCGCATGTGTGTGTGTGTGTGCATGTGTGTGTGTGCGCATGTGTGTCTGTGTGCGAGCGTGTGTGTCTGTGTGCGAGCGTGTGTGCGTGCATGTACTGTGGGAGAAATGGGTATAATGAGTGAATGTGATTTGATGGATGTGTGTGTGTTTTCCTCTCGCTTAATGTAATCATATGGAAATGCACAGTACTGTGCAAAGTATTTTTTTGTTAAAATGGACCTTGAGTGCAAGTTATTCATTGTTCAGCATCAACAGAAAATTTTTATTTGACTTAAAATTACACAGAAGTCTCAACAACTAAATATAATATCACATTTTCCAGTATGTAAAGCGTCCACTCTTTTCCTTAATTACAGCTTCTGTTCATTTTTGGGAGGCTTTCAGTTTTTCAAAGAAATTTGTAGAGATATTTTTTTGCCACACCCCCGAAGTTTGGTCTTAGACATTGGTTGCATTTTTCGCTTCTCGCAATCCAAGTGAACCCAAACACATTCAGTGATGTTGAGGTCTGGACTCTGGTGTGGTCAGACAATTGTTCTGAGAACACCAGCTGGTTTTTTGTTTTCATCTTAATTCCTTTTCTTATTATTGGCTTCTTGGCAGCTGCACATGCTTTCAAACTCATAGTGTTGTCTTCTCACAGTGGAAGGACAGACAAAAACACCAGTAGATATTTTTCAGATCTGATGGAAGAGTAGAGCTTGATTTTCTCCCCTCTCTCAAAGATGAAAGCTAATGAAAGCTTTAAGTCCTGTTTATCTGATGGTGACATTTTTGGTGGTCTGCCAGGTCTTGCATGGTTGTTAGAAGTCTCATTCACTATCTTTATGTCTTTCTGTGATTTCCTGGACTCAAGTTTTTGAAACTCCTGTAATTAATTTTTCTTTGTACTTCCCATTCTTAATGCAATTAGAATATCTTGTATCTAATCTCCTCAGAAATATCTCCTAAATATGAATAACTTAATGGCCATTTTGAGTGTAAATTAAATAAATGAAGGGTGGTCTCTGACAGTACTATATATCTTAGATCATGGCCACTTTGTTGTATCTGTCGTTTAGCGTATTTGATCTCATCACTTCAAACTCTCAGTGTAGATTTTGTTTCATGTATGCATGTGCTGAGTTATGGTGTCTTACATTATGAAACAGGTTTATGGACATGTGAACCAATTTTTTTGCAAATACCTACATATTAACTACTTTAATTATGAAAATATCATTACAAGAATATATTAAATGTTCTTATATTGATAGTCTTGTAGTTAAACAATTAAAAATGAATATAACACATACATATATATTTTACATATTTACAGTACATGTACTCTTCACATGTATGTTATGTTGTTTTGCAATTTACACAATGATTTCCTTGATGAAGGAGCTTACTCATGTTAGTAACTCCTCTTAGAAAGACTGGTGAGCTTTTCTTGTAAGAACAGACACTGATACGTCACTCTGTTTCTCTTTACCATCAACTTTTTCTGTAGTGTTCATTTGCTCCACAGCAGCTGTGCAACATAATAGTGTAGTATTGTGACTGTTGAAACTGTTTGGAAAAACAACAACCAGAGAAGTGGTATCTTGAATAAAAATGGACTGGACTGTAGAGAAATAAGGTCCAAGAATGCAGTGTTTTGTTTTCGTATTTGCAAGTGGTGGCTGGATGTGACTGCAGCATAAAGAGTGCAGAAGTACTGCGACCACAACTACAGGGCTGGACCATGAACTCTCTGTCTTTCTGTCTTTCACTCCCTCTGTCCTTCTCTCGATTTTCTTTCTGTCGCTTTCTTTTTCTCACTCCCTCCTCTCTCCCTCCTACTAAGAGCTGTGACTTGGAAGCCTAGGAACAGGCATGGTTTCTGAAAGGGTGGTGACTTCCTTTTGGAAAAACATGTCATTAATCCAAGAGAACGCATTCTTTCCCATCACAAGATAACCGAGAGGGAAATGGTTCACGCTCTCGCATTGCCGAGCTCTCTCTCGCTGTCTGCGTGAGAGTGCATAGCCTACACAGGTGAAGCTTCTCAAGACTGAACTCGTCCATATAAACCATTCCGCTCCAGTTCAGCAACTTCAAGCTCATCTTCTTCATTGTCTTACTGTTCTCCACTGCTCCTTTTGCGCACACACACATCTGATGATAATTTGCTGTGTAGTTTTGCATTCTTGGCATGAAGCGTTCTTTGAGTTGGAACAATAGCAGAACCATTTTTAGTACTAGAGTCATTTTTGATAAGTTTTCTATCATGGAGAACCATTCAAAGATGCAAAGAACGGCCTCTTTGGGTTGTCATGGTTCTGTATACAGTGGCCCCAAAAAGTATTTTGACACCTGAACCATTTAGCCGTTGGTAAACTTTAATTGATTTGAAGTGTGGATTTTGAATCTGTTGCTGTTACCTTTTAATATGAAGTCCAAAGAGCTGTCACTGCCGGTGAAGCAAACCATCATTAGGCTGAAAAATCAAAACAAAAACCCATTAAACAGAGAGTAAAAATATTAGGTGTGGCCAAATAAACTACAAATACATTCCCAAAATAAAGCCTGTACAGTTTGGAGACTTATGAGATTAACTTGTACCAGAGTGATGAGAAGTGAGAGTATGGGGGAGGGAAGGAAATGCTCATTATTCACAGCATACCACCTCATTTGTCAAGCATGGTGGAGGTAGAGTTATGGTGTGGGCATGTATGGCTGTCAGCGGAGTTGGTTCTCTTGTATTTATTGATGTAACTGCTGACAAAAGCAGCAGGATGAATTCTAAACTGTATAGGGCTATATTATCAGATTCAGCCAAATGCTTCCAAACTCATAGGATTGCCCTTCACAGTGCAGATGAACAATTACCCGAAGCATATCGTGAAAGCAGCTGAAGACTTTTTAAGGCAAAGAAGTGGAATGTTCTGCAATGGCCAAGTCAGTCACCGGACCTCAGCCTAATCAAGCATGCTTTTCACTTTCTGAAGACAAAACAGAAAGGTAAAACGTCAGGAACTGAAGACGGCTGTAGTAAAGGCCTGGCAGAGCATCACCAGAGAAGAAACACAGCGTGATGTCTGTAGGTTCCAGACTTCAGGCAGTCATTGACTGCAAAGGATTTGCAACCAAGTATTGAAAGTAACACTTTTTATTTTTGTTTACTTTTGAGCCCCTAAAAATGTGTGTGTGGGGGGCGCTATGTATGAAAATGTTTGTAATTCCTACACCATTCATCTGATTTAAGTCTACACTCTGAGTGCATATTCATTGTATTATATCAAATATGCTGTGGTAGACAGCTAACATAACAGCAACTTTGGCAAAGTACAGATATTTCTGGACCTGACTGTGTTTCAAAAAAAAATACTTTTAGCACAACTTCAAACTAACAGTAGACTCTTTGTGTGGAGAAAGCCTGGAGAAGACTTCCAACCAGACTGCACTTAGGGTACTGTAAAGCACTGCGGCTGTTTTCTTAGTGTTGTTGGTAAGCTTCTGTTCACTGATGGGGTCATAAACTCAGAAGTGTACAAACCAGAAGTCTGCTAAGAAAGTGTTTAAATGATAACAATCAGAAACACACCAGGTGCCTTTTAAAAGAATGCTCTGCCAAAATGAAAATTACAGTTTGGAAATGGTCTGTTTAAAATAAACATCATTTGGTTTGACATTTTGTTTCCTAACACACTTAGCTTTTGTATAATTTTAAGGATGGCGCAAAAGTCCAAATACTTTTTGGGACCTCTGAATATAACCATCGCACTAAAGAACCCTTGAAGAACCCACTCTTTTTCTTCTAAAGTGTGAGCCTCAGCCTATGTAGCCAATTTTATTTAGTGTGTTGCACAATACCTGTTAGCAGAGTAGCAGAGTATGACACAGAGATATGATATGAATTCTAGACTTCATTGTAGGTTTCATATCATCATTCATTGTGGACACACTGATGTTGTCTGCTAGCCACAAAAGTGGTTCTGTCTCCCACCACTGCTGGTGCAAAAGTTCCTAAGGGCCTGTTCGTGGCCTGTGAACACGCCTAAACTTCAGTCCAATATTCACTCTGTCATGTCCACAGTGCCGGCCTATTGAACTTGGCACTTGTTTCTAAATGTTGGGCTCGGCCCTGTTCTTGCACGCATCTTGGCAGTGGCTTCTACACCCCCAACCCCCCGGACACTTACATAAGGCCCTTGGATGGTCAGCCACAGACACAGACATTCAGGGCCCTGCCTATGTGGTCAGAGGAGTGCAACTTCAGCTGTACAGACATATTTTATACAATAAACAAAGATGTATGAAGAGCCTAAGCGAACATTCACGTTTACTTCAGTGTTTAAAGGATTTAAAGGTACCACTTTGTGATAAAGTGCTGTCTGTTATAACCATAATGATCACATGAACTCACACAGAAAGATGTTTTGTATGATGACTGCACTTGGGTATATTGACCTCAGCCAAAACAGGTGCTGAGGTGCAAAAGATCTTTATGTTCAACCCCAGAATATGAGTAAGGCATAAATATTGTGCCTTGATATTCACATCTTAGATTCCAGTTTTACAATCTGAATTTGTATTGCAAATATATTTGTGAAAATTTTAAATGTATCAGCACACCTTTCAGACATAAACACCATTGTAACCGTATTTTGTTCAATAGTCCAGACTTTTACCACACACCAATTAATGTTTCAGGATGTAATTATTGTAAATATTTGTGATCATGGTTTAACACTGACATTGTTCTGACCTGAATGTGTATTTTCAGAGCATGGTTTTGTTGGCTATTCAGAGGAGCTCTTGGGGACAAATACTCTGCCAGACTACACGCCTGGAGAGACTTTCTTCACTGTGTTTGGAGTTTTCTTTCCAGCTGCTACAGGTGACTTTCCCTTCATAATGCAATCAGTGAAGTTACTCAGTACATTAACCAACACATTACTGATAATTTAAAGTCTTAATCATAATCTGATTTCTCAAAAGAACTGCAGTACAAACATTGGTGGAATAGTTTAAGCTATAGTCACTTGCATGAAACATTTTAAATTTTGACTAAGTTTTTCCTTTTACCTTAAGTGAACTGAGTTACAGATCCTAAGTTTAAGTTTCAGATCTTCAGTTTTTAAAATGTACAGGTTTAAATGTATAACTTGAGTATTTAACTTAAGGTAAATACTTAAGTTGTTTTATGCACATGGGCATAGGCACTTAGTAACTGAATACTGGTCATAAAATAGAGCTGGTCATTTCATACCAAGATGATATTCAGTTAAATTTTATGAGCCAGTTATAATTAATGTACCAAATGTGTCTTCACAGTTGCTATTAATAATTGCACACTATTGCTGATCTTGGGTCAGTTTTAGCCTTTATATTCTCAAGAATACAAGGGGACTGATTCTGTCACATTACACAGGAAATAGCAGCAGTTCCTGGTTTCCTCTGCTGTCTCTGCATTTGTGTCTTCTTTGCAATTGTCACCATTTACAAGTCCACGAGATAATCAGTTATTTTCTAAGCGTAGAATCATTGACTCTAGAGATATTCCCTTTGGAAATATTACTTTTCAAAGGCATTTGTATTAGTGATCAAAACCAGGAACTGACAAATATGGGTCTGATTTTCATTGTCTTGCTCTGGTATTGTGTCAAACATTGTTTGATGTCTCTGTGTGGTGTGTAGGAGTGATGGCGGGTTTCAACATGAGCTCAGATCTTCAAAAGCCTGAGCACAACATCCCTGTGGGTACCTTGGCAGCTATCTTCACCTCGTATGTACCTGACCCCCTCGAAAAACTATAATGTACCTTTTCTGACTTCTTCCTTAAGCTATACAGAGGATCATGTTTACATATTTGAGTTCTCAGCTGATCTAGGAAAAGTTTTTGCCTTCTTCATGTGATTTTATAGACAAAGCCCCTGTATCCTAACCACTGATAAACATAGGCTAGTATAGTACTTCCATGTTACACAGACTATTTGATATGTTGTTTTATTAAGCAACTGTTGATGCATGAGGGCAGTTTGTAGAACCCTGATAGGGGTTGTATTGTGGAATTTTGCAGGTGGTTCCTGTATCTCGTCTTTGTGTTCTTGCTGGGAGCCATCTGCACCAGAGACGCTCTGCGCTATGATTTCTTAATAGCGGAAAAGGTAAAATGTCTAGAGTCACCTGTGATGTCACTCTATAGTGTTACAGCCTACAGAATGACTGTAACCCATTGAAGGAATTACAGGCTGGTGATCCAGGGCATACTCTGCATATTTTGGGGTTTCCCTGCTCTTCAGTACAGCGCATAATGCTGAGTCATGTATTTTGAAGCAGGGGAAAACAAACACACGCATGATTACATGATGCATGGTGTCCCATTGCCATGAAACAGTTCTTGTTTTTTTGGCTTTGTGTAGCACAGTAGATGTGAGATGAACAGTGACTTGTGTAAAGTCTCAGCTTTAATTTAGGGGTATCTGCATGGCGGAATGGAAACTGACTTCATTTTTTTTTTCATTAATACAATAAAAAAATATTTTCCCTGTTACTCTGCTAACACATTGATTAGGACACTCTTTGCTCTCAGTGTGTGAAATGTTGTGACTCTGTGTTGAGCTGCTAGCGAGCAATGATGAATGAAAGTGGAGAGGTGAGAACTACCTTCTGTAGTCTCCACAAAGACAGCCATGCCGAGATTAAACAGACAGCGGAACAGAACTGCAGGTTTAATGACTAGCAAAAGTCATGTACAACTGCCATAGTAAAAATAGCACAATACACAATAAAAACACGTTTATATAAATGTTGATGTACTTGATCAGCTACAGAGATGAAAATCCAATTAGCTTCTGATTTTGTAAATCATACATTAATCATAGTTCAACTGAGAGGCCTCTTTCAAAACTGGCAAAAAAATAGCTACTGTAGGGAGGCGTTAACAATCTCCCTTCAGGAGCATAAGTATGAGGGCAGTTGGCTGTTCAGGAATTTCTTGGCCAGCTGTGAGTTGTTGCACAAGAGAAGAAAAGTATAGCACTAAATCTTGAAGTGGCATTTGCATCTAGAGCATTTTTTCAGTAGAAGGACTAAAGCCATGTCAATGCCAGCAAATTAGGTAGAAAAATTAATAGATTGATCAGAGACATAGCTGAAATCCCAGTGGTGTCAAAATGAATTATTTGATACATTGCTATGGAGCAAGAATGAACTGGTAAACTTAGGAAACTTTAGCATTGAGTTTACTAAACATGACTGTTTACATGAGATAATGATATTTTGTCCAATTACTTATTGTTCCATGTAATTTATTGACATTATTCCCAATTTCATAGTTTGTACTGAAATCTCAAATCCGGTGTGTGGGACTGCAGAGCAATAACAACAAAAATTGTCATTGCCCAATTATTTATAGACTGTACTGTATAGTATCCTATATCAGATGTTAATTGTATGTCGATGTCAATACAATTGCTGGGCTCTCCATGTTTATTTAATTATATTCTTTAGAATGAAACAAATTCAGCCATAACAGTGCCTGAGCTGTTACTGCATGTGCTGTAGATACCATGAAAGCAGCTGGTATGAGAATACTAGATGAGAATAGGGTCCAGCTGGGTGTGACCTCCACAGGCCTCACAGCTGCTCCATAGTGGAGGCTGCAGTGCAGGGGTGAACACCCTGCTGGAGGTTCTCGCATAACAGGAGCACAGACAGCATGACTGTCTGCAATGTGATATCAGGTACAAACACTGGCTTAAAGTGGAATTACACTGATTAAAAATAATCTGTATAAATAAATAGTTGAGATGTAAACTTTGCATGATTCAAGGGTTCTTTGCATCATGAACGGGTTCCTGCCGCATGCATGTATAAAAATTATTTTTAGTTTTTTGAATTTGTCTAATTCTGAAAGATTATTCAGGAGTAATCTATTTTTTTTGTGGGGGAGGGTTTGTATCAGAGACTGTCACATTATTATTTTTATCTGTGATTTACTTTGAACTCAGTGAAGGTTTTCTTTTTTTCACCCTTTGGCTGAACATAGTTGGACTGGGCGGAGTCCTGTGCACTCTCTTCCCCTCTGTGTTTGTTTTTTTTCCCAGGTCTCCTTGGTGGGTTTCCTGTTCCTGCTGGGCCTCTATGTCTCCTCCCTGGCCTCTTGCATGGGTGGCCTGTATGGGGCCCCCAGGGTTCTACAGTGCATCGCCCAGGAGAGAGTTATCCCTGCTTTGGCTTTCCTGGGACAAGGGGTGGGTACCCACACTTCATCTGTACTTCCCACAGGGTTAGAAGGCATATATTTTCTGAGCTTCAAGGCTGAAATTTCAGTGAAATTCAGTATTAAAAATACACTGCAGCTCAGGTCAAATCAAGAAAGAAATACTACTTGCTACAGGTTTGTGCTCATGTTTTAGACAACATCCTGGCAGCACCGTAGGGAGGAAACAACATGTTTGTTTTGCAAATCAAACCCTTGTTTATCAAGGTCTTTCATGCTCATTTTATGGCCCGTAATGAACCATTTGCTCCTCATGCTTAATTAGTGCCACCCTTCAGTGTGTCCGGGGAGGCAGAACAGATAGTGCCCACAAAAAGGAGGAGTTCCTAATTATAGAGTACTAGAGTGCCCTTCAAAAACCATTGAGGGCCAGTGTTGTACAATTGTGGCTTTGAAAAACCAATGCACACCCTTTCCCTTGGCCCCAGTTCTGTCTGGGCCCTCTGTGTGGACTGAAAGCAGGCCTGAGACATCTTGCCCTGAATCAAAGCCCCAGAACAAATGCAGGAAGCAAAGCCAGGGCCAGCCCAGGTTGACCTGGCTCCCTGCCAGGCAGCACCAGGAGTTCAGGCACGGCAGCAATCACCCCGACTTGACCTGGATCACAGCAACTTTTGGTGGAGAATGAGAGACGAAGAGAGAGAGAGAGAAAGATGGTGGAAAATGAGGGGCTTTAGGAGAGGCCGTTTAGTGTCAGAGTGCAGGAGAGATGTTTTTCTGGGATGTTTTAGTTGGATGCTTGTGCTCTGTGATTACTCAACATGCAGATTGAGCGAGTGATAACTGAGGGAGGGTGTGGAAAGGAAATGAAAAGGCTCTTGCAGTGTTTAATTGCACTGTCTATTCTTATTATGTGATTTGTACGATGTTTCAGTAACAGTTTTTGTGTCTCTCGGTTATACTAATTGTAAGCTGAAATGCATTTAAAGGTCTACTAAGGAATTGCTTTAGCAGGCAAGTCAGTTTTTGATACTACAGTCTCATTACAAGGAAATATCTACATTTAAAGGGTAATTCCACTAATTATTTAAAATGTCTGCATAAGTAAATGATTAAAGTGAACCCTGACTGTTAAGACATGTAAGCCTTATTGTGGTGACATGTCCAATACTATCAGAATATGTTTCATAAACTAAGCAAAATACTCTATTTATTATTAAAAATAGACAAAATTCCTTTAAAAGTAGGTAGCCATTTTTGTTGCTCTCTATACATGGAACAAGGGACAGCGAGCTAAATATCTGATTGAACTAAAATATCTCATTCAGCCTTTCCAACTTTCGCTAGAGCATGATGTAACCTAGGAGAAAATTTGTAACCTAGGAACATTTTTTTGATTGTCTTATTTTCCATAGTCCATATGAAGTGCAACCATATGAGATCATCACAGTGCAACAGTGGCAACCTACTAGTAGAGGGATTTTTGCTTGTTTGTCATGTTTTTGGAGAGAACAAATTTCTATTCCGCCTATGCATCACATTTTAATAGTATTTGACATACACTGTTATAAAGCATATATGGTCACGTGAAGAAGTAAGTACACCCCATGAAATGTTTTTGTTCTTTTTTTGGCATGTGGACATATCAGTATTTGATCTTCAGGTAAACAGTATGTGTAGACAGATCTTATGAAATAGAACAAAAATCAATGGAAATTTGACTTTGCAATCTTTTATTAAAAAACTGATATGTCGTTTTTGCCTGTTGAAAAAGTAAGTACATCTCTGGCTTCAGTAACTGGTTCTGTTCCCTTTGGCAGAAACATCTTTATGTAGGCGTTTCCTGTAACTGTCAACCAGTTTCAGACATCTACTAGGCCTCCTTCTTCATGCAGAATTCTTTCAATTGTGCTATATTTGATCATTTTTTTTCCATGTACAGCCCATTTCACAGAGTGGGATTCAGATCTGGGCTTTGACTACACCATTCCATAACCCTCAATTTCTTCCTTTTAAGCCATTCCTTGGTGGATTTACTTGTACATTTGGGATCATTATCCTGTTGGAGGGTCCACTTCTTCAACTTTGTCTTTTTTACAGATGGTCTCACATTCTCCTCAAGCGCACTCTGATATGAAAGAGAATTCATAGTTGATTATATGATTGCAAGTTGGCCAAGCTCTGAGGCAACAAAGCAGCCCCAAACCTCCACCATGCTTAACAGTTGGTATGAGGCTCTTATGATCAAATGCAGTCTTTGTTTATCGCTAAACACGGCTTCTGGTACTGTGCTCAAACAACTCTCTTTGACTCGTCTGTCCATAGCACAATGTTCCAGAAGTCTTGGTCCTTGCCTAGATATTCGTAACAAACTTTAGTCTTGCCCTGATGTTCTCTTTCAAAAGCAAAGGCTTCCTTCTGGTGCTCTTCCCATATCAAATTTTTGCAGTCTTTTTCTAATGGTCGATGCACATGCACTTTACATCAGCAGTGGCAAGAGCTCCCTGCAGATCCTGTGATGAAATTTTGGGGTTCTTGGAGACTACTTTTAGTGTTTTACAGTTGCTCTCAGGTTAAATTTACTGGGGCAGCCTTGCCTGGACATGTTAGCATTGTTTTTAAATCTTTTCCACTTGTAGATGATCTTCTGGACAATATTTTGGATATCTTCATAAACCTCATCCCAGACTCACGGGCATCTACAACTTTCTTTCTGAAGCCCTTAGAGAGCTCTTTTGGCCTAGGCATTATGATACCACACACTCCAATAACAAAGAGCAAACCAGCCCAGATATCTGAGGTTTATTTAAGCCAGGTTCCTCCAAGATATTCTCTAATGATGTTACAATCATTAGCACCTAATCAGGTGCACCTGATTTCAATTTGACTGTTTGAAGTGGTGATATATAGGGCTGTACTTACTTTTTACACATAAGGAAATTGCATTACTGTTTATTTCAATTATATAAAGAATGACAAATGTTGCTTTTAAGTATCACTTGTTAAAGATCCTCTTTATCTGTCAACATTGGTTAAATGAACCCCTGATATCTGTATCTCCAAATATGTTCAAAATGTCAAAACTTTTGATTGGGTGTACTTATTTCTTCACTTGGCTATGAGTCTTGGCAGTCAGGGTTCCCTGTTAAGATGTAAACTAAGTCATTCAGAGTGGATATATATGCGTTGTAGACATTGAGACCCCATCACCACCATTATAAACAAATTAAATATTCTGTAAGTTTCTCTAAAATGCACTTTTTTACATCAAAATGCTCCGAATTACTTTTAATTGCTACCAAATTATGCAGAAATTTTGTAAAATTAGTTGAATTTTCTGTTAAATTGTAGAGTTTACCATGTTTAAAGGCATTACCCTCGGAACTAGTGACAGCCATAGTGTTGTTGTTTCATTTTTTATCAAGTTTCTAAACTTGTCAAATGAGTTGCATTGATTTATATGCACTGCGTTCACATTCTCCCACCTCTGTCAGTAGAAGGGACCCAATAAGACTCCAGTGGCAGCCATCTGTCTGACAAGCGTGATCTCCATGGCCTTCATCTTCATAGGGAAGGTCAACATCCTGGCTCCTATCGTCACCATCAACTTCATGCTGACCTACAGCATCATTGACTATTCCTACTTCTGCGTGGCCAAGAGCTACGAGCTACAAGCCAGGGAGAGAAGACCTTTGATCGAAAGACCTAGTTCAAGGAAATCGCTAGTGACAAGCAGTCACCCTTGTTATGGCAGCAATGGTACCATGAGCAACCCCAGTAATGGCACGCTGCTGGAGTTCACTAAAGACATGAACCAGATATTTCCACTGCCCAACACAGATAGCACAGAGGAAGAGAAAGCCTCCAATCCTGCAGCCAAGGCCTGGGGCAGGAAGGCAAAAGTTCCTGCTAAAGAAACACTGAGCAGCAGTTTTGGGTTGGACTTGAATAGCAATACCCCTTTAGAGAAGGGAAAGGATGAGAGGCAGCTTGAACAAAGCATTGGCCCAGATGATGAGACCAGCAGCCAGACAGGGCTTATGGAGTCTGAGTCTACTCGTGACCCTATTGAACTGCATCAGCTACCAAGGGAGGCAACAGACAAAAATGGTGAGTGCCAATGTTTTGTTCATCAGATGGTGCAAAATGTTTGCACAGTGGACATGCTCTAAGTTTTCCAAATGTTCATTTTCTTTGCAGAGTCAAAACCAAAGCTGGAAGGATCAGAAATACGACCCATCCCAAATTCGTTTTATTCCAGGTTTTGCAATCACTGGGTTGCATTAATTGGTGTAAGTGCATTCATAAAAAGTAGTTTGGAAACAAAGAATCCTGTTTTGGTTCACTAAATTATGCAATGTTGTATATTTTCAAACACATTGTATTTATGCCTTTCACTTTATCTTTACTCTTGTGCAGGCTCTGTGTTCCATTATGATAATGTTTGTCATCCAGTGGGTGTATGCCTTGGTGAATATGAGTGTTGCGCTCCTCCTTTTCCTCTACATTGGAAAAGCAAGTCCAGGTTTGCCAACAGGTAATTGTCTGAGACTGTTTGGATTACTTGGCTGAGAATCTGATAAGCAGCCACAATTGTTGAAAATTACCCCACAGCAAAATCGTTTATCAGCTTTCTGTTAACATTAATTAACTGTTTAAATGTGTGTTTGTGTAGTTATTTTGAAATGACTGCAAACATTTTTGTGCACACACACCGATCAGGCATAACATTATGACCACCTCCTTGTTTTTACACTCATTGTCCATTTTATCAGCTCCACTTACTGTATAGGTGCACTTTGTAGTTCTACAATTACAGATTGTAGTCCATCTGTTTCTCTGCATACTTTGTTAGCCCCCTTTTACCCTGTTCTTCAGTGGTCAGGACCTCCATGGACCCTCACAGAGCAGGTACTATTTGGGTGAATAAATAAATAACAAAAATGTAGAATTAAACTTTTAAAATATTTTTAATTTAATTTCTTTAGTCTTTTAATCTCTACCATTGAAACTAATGGTCAGATGACTCTCAGGTGGGTTTAATCTACACAACTGAGGCTTTTGCACAAACTTGTGGCATCCATGCCAGCTTGAGTGCACGCTGTCATTAAAACAAAAAAGCCAAAATACTGCAATAAATTAGAAAGCAATGCAAAATAGAAGCATTTTCACTAGTGTTCTCAGACCTTTGGATCCCACAGTACATGTTTTAATATATAGTGCAATGAGAGGATACAGTTGTTAAGGGCAGACTCTTTGCATTTGGTCCTGGTCACGGCTCTCGCTGACGTGCAGCTGTTGTGTGGGATTTTTGGAATAGTTTGTCGGTGGATTCTGCAGTTGTGTGATATATAATCTCCTCACGTAGTGTACCGCTTCATCTGACTCTGCTCAGCTACACAGCAGAAGAGCCAGCAGTTACCAGAGTTAAGGCTTGACGCCTGTCTGCTCTGCTGTAGCAGTTTTAAAAGTATGTATTGGTGCTCCAGTCAGTTATATTCACCATGTCATACTGTGAATGCCAAGTACAGGGGCAAGACAGGGGCCAGTACATGTTGAATCAAAGCCAAAGCTGTAAAGCCAAAGTGTTTTCTCCAGTGCACTACTCAACAGTCCTGCAAAAGCATCTAATTATGCAGGCAGTTTTCTGCATCATGCTACTGACTCATTGATTCATTGCATATATGTCACTATATTTTTCACTTAATGAAGACATACAGTGAAATATTCCAAAATATCCCAAAGTCTTTCAAAAAATGATTTGAAAAAACCTTAACATTAGAATAAATAAAAATAAACAAATAACACATTGTGATTGTGACTCTCCTCAAGGAAATCAAGTATTTACAGTTACCGTCCGTTACCTAGTTTATCTGAGTCCTTCATTTAATTAAATCAGTTGTGCTGCTGATGGAATGTAACAAATTTATGCATTGGCTGAAGTGCACCCAGAAGTCAGTGTTGTTTTAAAGATATTCATCTAACCAACATATTTCTAACTTTTTTGAAAACAGGAAATTGTTACTGTGTTTTACTGTGTGTATTTATTCTCTTTGCAGGCATGTAATACAATGTTTGTACAGGCAAAAACATACATACATACAAGGTTCAAGCAACTTTGTGGCTGCCTGAGACTTTTCCACAGTACTGTGTCTCTGAATATCTTTATACCTTTGAGGGGAAAAAAAACATTTAGCCTTTTTTACATTTTGCACTTGCACTGTAAATGTTTTGAAACTACACAGACAAAATAAAATTTTCTTCTGTGCTCTAGTTTTATCTTCGGATATTTTGGGGTCATACATTTTATCTACCACCCTGTTTCCAAAAAAGTTGGGATGCTGTGCAAAATGAACATAAAAACAGAATGCAACAATGTGCAAATCACTTAAACCCCATATTTAATTTAAAATGGTACAAATATATCAAATGTTAAAATTGATCAATTGTATTGTTTCTTGCAAAATATTTGCCCATTTTGAATTTGATGTCAGCAACACATTCCAAAAAAGCTGGGACAGGGACATGTTTACCACTGTGCTGCATCACCTCTTCTTTTAACAACACTCTAAGTTTTTGGGAACTAAGGTGAACAACTGCTTTAGTTTTGAAACTGATATGTTTTCCTGTTCTTGTTTGATATAGGATTTCAGCTGCTCAACAGTTCAGGGTCTCTGTCATATTTTTCACTTCATAATGCGCCAAATGTTGTCAATGGTGACAGGTCTGGACTGCAGGCAGGTCAGTTTAGACTCTTTTACTGCAGATCCATGCTGTTGTAATACATGCTGAATGTAGTTTGACATTGTCTTGCTGAAATAGTCAAGGCCTTCCCTGAAAAGGACGTTGTCTGTGTGGCAGCACATGTTGCTCCAAAATCTGTATATATCGTTCAGCATTAATGGCGCCTTCACAGATGTGCAAGTCACCAATGCCATGTGCACTAATGCCCCCCCATACTATCATGGATACTGGCTTTTGAACTGTGACTGATAACAAGCCAGATGGTCCCTCTCCTCTTTAGCCCAGAGGATGCACCATCCATGATTTCCAAAAGGAATTAAAAGTTTATCAGACCACAGGACACTTTTCCAATTCTACTCAGTCCATCTCAAATGAGCTCAGGCCCAGAGAAGGAGGCGGTGTTTCTGGATCCTTTTTATATTTGTTTTTTCCTTTGCATGGTAGAGTGGATGTCATCACTGCATGTGGATGCAGTGATGAACTGCGTTCACAGACAGTGGTTTTCTGAAGTGTTTCTGAGCCCATGCAGTGATTTCCATGGAGGGCCTGAAGATAACAGTCAAACAATATTGGTTTTCAGCCTTGTCCCTTACATACAGAGATTTCTCTGGATTCTCTGAATCTTTTAATGTGATCATGTACCATAGAGGATGAGTTCTTTGTTATTTTACATTGAGAAACATTACACTTGAATTGTTGCACTATTTGCCCGTGCAGTCTTTCACAGAGTGGTGAACCCCTCCTCATCTTTACTTCTGAAAGACTCAGCTTCTCTGGGATGCTCTTTTATACCCAATCTTGTTACTGACCTGTTGCCAGTTATCCTAATTAGTTGTAAGATGTTCCACCGGTTGTTTTCTTTTAGCATTACACAACTTCACCAGTCTTTTATTGCCCTGTCCCAACTTTTTTGGAACATGTTGCTGGCATCAAATTCAAAATGGGCATATTTAAAATCTCAGTTTTAGCATTTGATATGTTGTCTTTGTACTATTGTAAATTAAATATAGGGTTTAACTGATTTTCCCCTCATTGTATGCTGTTTTTATTTACATTTTGCACAGCGTCCCAACTTTTTTGGAAACAGGGTTGTATTTAGACATTACACTTTTGAGGTACCAGTACAGTATTGACATTTTTAGGTGTGCATCATTGTTGAGATAGTAGTTTTAATTGCTTAGACTTACTATACATAAACAGTTGTGTTGAACATATTTTGGTTTGGTATTAGCCTTTGCTCTTATGTTTTGCATATGGCTTTGGAGTAATTACACATAAACATGAAGATTTAATAGTCATAGATGAAAAAACTGCACCCGGTTCAGATTTTTAAAGTAAATGTCTGTCAGAATCCCTGCACATGTCTAAGCAGGTCAGCAAATTAGATATTTTGAAATGTACCTAGTGCAGGTGTCGTCTATTCAACATTCTGTTCTGACTTCTGCAGAGTTATGAAAGATACACCACTAGACATAAACTCAGCAACATGGCTAACAAAGCCCGACAGCCATTGGAACTGACACAAGCTGTCTTTGCACAATGATTTGAGAAGAATGCATCTGCATCTTGTCTGCCTACAACAAAATGCCCCAGAATGACAATGACAGTCACCAGAAGGCTAATATTTCATGAGATGTTAAAGATTGTTAAATGCCTGTTGGTTGTTCTGTGATTTTCATTTTTTTTAAGTGTTCAGATTTCTTGCCTTGACAGACATATATTGAGGTTCCATATATGTATGCTGATTCCAAATTACAGGAACAAGGGTTAAAACCAAGAACTCACACTCTTAGCTCTGTTATCTGCGCATTCATAGCTCTGTAATGTGTACTTAGAAACACCAATTCAGTCAACTGTTTTGCTTATTCTCACCAAATTGTGGAGCTGGATACAATAAAATGATATAGTTCCACAATGGAAAATGCATATGCCCAAAAACTCACAAATACAGTGTGGCATTCTGTATTTTTGTCTTATATTTATGCTTTTAATCTTTTGATCTTTGGTCCAAAGTGCATGGGAAAATTCACACTTAAATGTCTGAGTGCCTATGAAGGTCGCTGTATGCACTTTAGAATTTTTTTTCCCATTTGGAGATATTGATAGTACATTTTGTTCTTTTTCTGACAGGTGCAGCGGCCCGCTTCAGCTTTTTCCGATGGATAAAGGGCTCTCTAAGCAGCCTGGGCAGGTAGAGTATGATAATAGGGTTATGTAAGATGTTTGATTCCCTTTTGTTCTTCAGGAAGCTCTTAAAGTGTCTGCTGCTGATTGATGCCTTTATACTTTGGCTTGGCTCAATGAGAGACTTCCTCTGGCAAATTCTGCAAATCAGAGTGATAAAACCTTTGACATAGTGACAGAGCGTTTGCCTCTTTGGACCCTCTCTGAAGAGTGTATTTATTTTATTATATTATTATATTTCTCTATTTATTTATAGAGATTGTATACTTGTTGAGACCCTATATTAATGTCCAGTACTTACCAGGATGTCACTGATAGAGCTATCCTCTTATAGGGGAAAACGTGAGTTTCAGGACCAGATTGTGGTGACACCATCTTTGTCAGCAGTTGGCATGGAAACCAGGCAGTTAACTGAGGAGAACGCAGACTTTGCCTTCCGAGACCGCTACCACCATTCCTCTGTCATCACCACCGCGGATAAGATGGTCCATCCTCAGCTTCGCTGACGGGCCTCATTTCTCTTACCTCAACCTGGCCATTGAAGTGCAATTCATAAAGACTCTCAAAGCAGGGGGGAAATCCAGAATTAGTTCTCTCTCTGATCAAGGATCAGCACTCCTGCTCTAAAATGGCATAGTGAATGCCATCTGATACTGGAAAACCACATATGACTGCTAATCTAGAATATATTTTGGAGACTGATCATGTTATCTTATGAGAGGTCTGATTCCAGGTCAGTAATCCTGTTCTGAGATAATTTATAAATACTATGGTCTGCAGTGTAGGTGCAGGTGGATGGAACTTGTGACTGATTAAAAGTGTTTTGGGTGGCAATTTTAAGGCACAGTTCTGACCTGTATGTTTTGTTTGTTTTTCTTTTGGTATATTGTAATAATTACTCACCAGGGAAATCGGAAGGACAGTCTAGTTTAAATGTATCTCAGTGTACAGGAAGTGCAATAGACTGCTTATATCTACACCATCATGGTAACAGTGCAATTTTTTACAGACTGTACATCACAGCCTGTGTTTGATGGGGTTGTTATGTAGTGTTTGTAGAGTAAACAAAAGTAAAGATAACATATGTATCCCTCATGTATCCCTCATGTTTGCTTCTTGCATAGCCTATGTGTTAAAATGAACGGTCCAGAATTAACCAAACTGAACATTTCCACAGGCTGACTTAGCTCCTTATCAAATATCTTGTGGTCTGTGTGAAGGATAAAAATATGCACAACCATTTTAATCACATGCTCATGAGCATTTCTTAAACATGTTAAAGATGTTGCTAAATGTAATGTAGTCCACACAACAAGTTTCTTTTGTTCATGCACAAACTTTAAAGCAAGCTTATTTGAAATACGCTTTAATTTAGTAGGCTTAAGCCAAACGATTGCAGTAATAGAGAAACCCCTATTGGTATTTAACAAAGGAAGATTTCTGTTGTGCAATAGGAGAAGAGGAAAGAGACATTTGTATTGGACAATCCTCGTTTTTGGCTTAATTTGTCCATTCATCTGAGAAATAGTGCGCTGGTGAAACATTAACCCCCACCCCCCTTGCTGAAGTTCTGCCTCTACGTTTCTGGGAAGGCTTTACACTAGATGTTGGAACATTGCTGTGAGGATTTGATTGCATTCAGTCACAAAAGCATTGATGAGGTGAGGTACTGATGGATGATTAGTTGTTGATCACAAACACCATTCCAGCACATCCCAAAGGTACTGGATGGAGCTACATCACTCTGGAGAACACAGCTCCACTGCTCCACAGCCAAAGCTGGGTGGCTTCATTACCCCTCTAGCCGACACTTGTCATTGGGTAAGGCTCACGTGTGGTTCCTCCAAACTGTCCCATTCTATTGCCAGTGTTTTTCTATGGAGTTTCTACACGTTGGGTGTCCTTAAATGAAAGCCCGTCAGCAGTGGGTGCACCTTTTTTTAAGTAGCTGAATTCATTAATTAGAAGGGTGTCTGGATACTTTAAGACATGTAGGCTAAGGGTACCCGAGCACCTACTGGAAGTCGAGCTGAGAGGGAGGGGCGTGACCCGTGGTGATAGTGGGCGGGGACATGCACCATTCTCTGTTATTGAAGGGGGGTGTGGCCTAACGAGGGGCAGAGTCATAGCGGGCTTCTGCCTCTGCCGTTTGGAGGGATCCGTGAAATAAAAAACCCGCTCAGTCTGAGAAAAATGAAGCTTTAGCAGCCTCCGGGGAGATTGACGAATGGGAGTTTTGTTGGGGGACCGATGGTGACCCGGACGACTTTGCCGTATTATTTATATCTCGAAGTTCGCGGTGGTTTTCATCATGGAAGCGTGTGCAGTGAGGCGCCCTGCCCGTGTGCTCTCGGTGCTCGTCCTGTCTCTCTTGAAAGTAACGATTGCTGGAAGTTTCGCGCCGAACACCGACAGCTCGGTCACGGAGGGAACTTACTTCACTTTTTCGGGCACGACTGACTCTGAAGATACAACTGGTTTGCTGAGGACACTGACGGCTTCTACAGTGGAGTTCACTTCTGCTGGGTTTGAACACTTCTCCACAGCAAAACTCTCGGAAACCCACCCTGGCTTCACGGAGAGGGAAGCCAGAACTGGTAAGAGCAGGGAGAGAAAGAGAGGGAGAGATAGACGGGGCTGCATCCCAGCTGGAGGAGTAACTCTGATAGTTTGTGATTGGCCTAGTTTCTAATTCAAATCTTAAGTAACTGAACAGTTTAAACACAGTAGTGATGAGTTGATAGCCCACTATGCTAACTATGTAAATACCACTGCACAGTCACTCAGCCGCTGTCAAGCATCAGTGCTGCTGGCATTCAGACCGTTATTGAACCTGATTAGCTAGCCAACACTTCTGTAGCCATTTGGCTGTTTTTATTATCCTTCCAACAGGCCCAGTCTGTTCTGAGGGTGTTGAAGTCTGTAGGTACTGACTAACTCAGGTTTACATTTTATATAAGTTATGTTACTAAGATTATAAAGTATAGATTTGGAATAGTTTAGAATTAAATCTATGAAGGAAGGACAGTTAAATTTTTGTTTATTATTCCTCATTGCTTTTTGTTTATCTCTGTTCTGGACTAGTTTACTATTCACTATTTTCAAGGGTGTGATTTTATTTCAGAACAAGATGAGCCCTAAAAAGTGAAGCCTGGACTCTAACAGGTGCTTAATGTACTGAGACGTTTCACTGCAGTAGAACTGATACTTTCTTTAATGTTACTTATAATATATTGGCACCTTTTACCTTTTTCTTGAGTCATTTAGTGAAGTAAAAAGAGTTTTACTAAAACAATGTGTAGGATACTTTAATCCAAGAGGTTTATTTGTGTATACATATCACCTGTTATAGATAACTAATGATAATATTATTAACAACAGTAATAATATTTAACTCACACATAGGCTTAATAGTGTCATAACAACAACAATAATAATAACAATAATCACAATAATAATGTTCATCTTGCCCATAGGCCTAATAACACATAGACCAATAATGTCATAACAGTAGTAATAGTAGTAATGGTCATCTCACACATATAGGACTAAAAGGCTAAAATGTCACAACAACAATAATAATAATAGTAATGTTTATCTCGCACATAGGTCTAATAATACACAAACTAATAATGTGAGAATTTGGGAAGCTCTTCATTCATGAGTAACTCCATCAGAAAGTAATTTTCTTTTCAGGTCAGTCAGCTGGTCAGATCCTACTATACTGTAGATCTTTGTAATATTCAACTTGTTTGAACAAAAGGTCTTGTCCTGTATTAGACAAAGGATAAACTGTAATGTACTTTAGGCTATGTATAACATTAGAAATACAAATGGTGAAATGTTACAATTTTGCACACACTTTGGCTGATTGCTCAAACATCTGGGCTGACAAGACAACACATTATTGAGAGGCACCAGGGGCCCAATTTGCCAAACCCATTTTCACTTAAGCCACAGATGATTTAAAGGTGATCTGCAAGTTTTACTGAGGAACAGACTCATTTTCCCTCAGCCTTAACACAGTCTGGAATAAAGCAAACCATTTGTTGGCATTGCTGTGCAATCGGTAATGACTCATTGGTTCAAACTTAGGGTAGGATATCATTGTACTTCTTACATGGTATGTTATTATACAGGTAATGTTGTATCTATTTCAGGTTCATTCTAAACTGAATTAATAATCAAAGAATAAGAAATAAACATGAAATTATGGACTAGATTTGCCAGCAAAGAACAAATAGTAGTTGTAGCAGCTGTGCGACCATGTACATTTTTGGTTTGTGCCATGTTCTAGTCTGGTTCGGATTAGAATGACTAAACTGGTTACATTTTAAAAAACGAGTATAACTTTTTCTCCATATTAGGTGACACTACCTAAAGTCTTAATAAGTTTACATAAGAGACTCCAGACTTTAATCTTAGCATGAAGTACACATAACTCAGATCAGAAAGATGATTTTTACATAGATAGCTAATATTTGTATCTATTCATAGCTATTTTAAAAGTAAAATCAGAATTTTATGCTACTAAAATGTGTTGAATGTGAATTGATTACAATCATCAGTACAATAAAAAATAAATAAAAAGTTTTGTTTAATTGTCTGTTTAAGTGTGGTTTGCATGTTGTAGAAAAGTGTAATATCCTCTCAGTCAAGGCTTTTTGCTTGTTGATAACATTGTTACCAGTGTATGAACTCCATGTAGAGAGTGACATTATTGTATCATGGACTTTGCTAGGTCAGCGTAAGGAAGGAAACAGCTATTCCCAATGGGTCAGGTCACCGCCATTTTTAGGGCTGAAGCTTTTGTTAGCTTAGACGGGTTCGGCTGCCAATTGTTCTCCACCCAAAATCATTATATCCGCAGTCACTTCTGAAAACATCTTCTGTAATGGTTACTGAGATTCTCAAAGTGCCTCGCTGTGAGAGGCACACCCTGGTGGCATTCCACACATAATGCAGGGGAGTTAACTAATGAGTCCATTGTAGGGAGTAATGGACCATTTGGAATTTTCTGATCGGTCATTAAGCACAGACGTTTTGTGCATGTTCAGACCACATGTACAGCTCTGTGGCAAAAAAGTCCACCATTCATTTATTTAATTTCCAGTCAAAATGGCCATTAGTTATAAATTCTCTCCTCAGAAGTATCTCTTGAAAATTAATAAGTGATCTTAAGTGGCCATTTCTAACTGGAAACTGAAATAAATGCAGCATTTTGACTTTTGCACAGTACTGTAGCTGAGGTATAAGAAGAGACTGTGAATGTAGGAGGGGGAGAATTCTGAGAATTTGGACAGGAGTTCTGGGCAGTAGTGATGGAAATTTATTGATTAGAAGGAGGAGGATTAGCCTGAGGCACGGTCCTACTCCCGAACTTTAGTTTTCTCTTAATTTATAGTCCTATTGAAGTAGTTAACGTTTATTGAACAGGCTTATTTATAACCTAATAAAGTAAGATGTCTTGGTCTTAATAAGACCACATGCTTTCAGATCGATTACTGCTGTACATTTGGATATTTCACAAAATGCAGAATTTGCGTTTGATACATCACTCTTTGCTTTTGTGCAGCCACGGATCAGAACACTTTCTCTACGGATATGGAGAGCTGGACATCGCATAGCGGTCCAGAAGTGTCCACAGAGCTGCTGAGCTCCAGCACTGAGCTCAGCAATACCACAGCCACTGAGTGGGGAGCTCCACCCACAGTAGCCAACATAACTGATGCCTATATAGATTTAGCAACGAAAGACCAGCCTGCAACTGAGGCCAGGACTGTGAGAGACCTCACTGTGACGGTGCTTACGGAAAAAGACATCACAGATATGGACACTACAGAGTCCATTTCACATACTGACAGCACCTACATATCCACCACCATCAACCGTGCTGGGGAGCGCACTCTGCTGTCTGTCACGTCCAACAGCACTACTCCGTACACAGAGGAGTCCATCTCTTCTGAGGCAGCTCCACAAACGGATACCTCAGAGGTAAAGACAGGGACCACTCAAGGTGGGGACTACACTGAGGGTGCCTTGTCTACTGAGGCTGACCATACCAGGGCAACATCTGAGGATCAGCCGACCACGAACGCTACCCAAGTGACTGTCTCTGAGCCTGAGGTTCCCCATGTCTCTCAGGGCACCCAGTCTCAGACAGGACAGCCCAACGTCACAGAGATGACTACCGACAACATCAGCCACAACTCCACTCAGCCTGCCACAGTGGTCAACAGCTCTGAGACTGAGACAGACACTATAGCAGATTCATCCACCAGCGAGACATCCTACACAGACCGAAGTGCTTCTGCACCGTCTGTCACACCTTTCATGTCCACAGAAGACAGTCGGACAAATATGTCCCACCAGGACATTGAAACTATGACCACTGAGACTCCTGCAAGGTCTGTGAGCACTGTGGTAGACAAGAAGTCGGATGGTCCTCAGACTCACAAGGATGAAACCACTATTCTAGGCCTGACCACTGCCCTCCCCTCACTGACCACTGTGGATGACTCCCTCTCAAGCCAGCAACCCTTTGTCTCCCAAACCCACCATACACCAGAGGCCACAGAAGTGTTGACCACAGCTGCAGGACCAGTGACCCAGAGGCCACAACATACAGAGGAGGACACGCGTGTGGCTAGCACTCTTGCTAGCACTGTCCCTACTACTGTCATTACTACCACGCTAGCTAGCACTAGCACTAGCACCAGCACGTCAACTCCATTCACAACACATCAGCTCCAACCCAGCACCACTGCTAAACCACACACGCCCCACGTGACACTTTCTCCTATGGAGACAACTCAGGTGCTGACCACGGCCACCACAGAGCAGCACCGGCCCACCTCCCAAACAGTCACGCCATCTCTGACTCCCAGCTCATCCCAACCCGAAGATATTTCTACTGATGTAAGCACACTGCACCTAGAGACCAGCACGGCTACACCGGGCAACACCACTGCGCACGGCAGGCACACCACTGCCTCCTACAGTACAAGTGCCCCTACCAGGAGCACTGCTGTAGTGACCACAGGAAAGCACACTGAAAGAAGCTCCACGCAGAAGGAGGCCACAACCACGCAGGTTCCTGTGAAGTCCACTACAACTCCTGGTGTGTTTCTTTAGCTTTTTTTCCCATTATTTCTTACAAACCTAAACTACAAACCACACTACTATAAACTAAAAATATGAACTCAGTTTGGTACCAGATAAATGAATATGATTCCAATATGCTAGCCATGTGCATCTTTACAGGTTTTAGATGATTAGTGTGAAGCTTGGAATGCAAAAAAAAAAAAGAAACTTTAGACATGTTTATAATGATGAACACAGCTGTATATGATTCTAAAATGACTGAGAAAGCTGCACATAATTGAGAATGAAGTTATAATAAAGTCAACATCCAGAATCCCTCATATTTCAAAAGTGATCACCAAAACTCAGAGCAGAGAACTTGATGAATATGATTGTAAATAGTATATTATTAATCATTTTATAGCTTCTTTTTGTTTCCAACATACTTGAAATATAATTAAGTAATATATTTAGTATTTAGTCTTCATTGTGCACATTATTGTATGTAAGATAACAAATTATTAAAAACTGACTCAACCTTTTGAATAGTAGTATGTTTTGATATTTTGTTCTTCAGTTGTACTGTGTGTATGCCATATGTATATACAATACTTTAGCTGTAGTAACGTGAAACATTTCTAACATTATGTTGGTACTTTTAAAAGAATGATTTGCCAAAAAATCAAATTTGCACAATTCTCGATTTATCTGTTGTAGTCGATCAACCAAGACATATTTGGTGTCCACGTTTTAATCCTTTAGTTTAGCGCTGGAGTTGAGGATAACACTGCTAACAAACACTAGCAGTTAATAGGTACTCAAAACTTCTCTCAATACCTGCAAACCATATTTAACTCCTCCATTAAGGTCTTTAAGGTTTTGCTGATGTGATTACAGACACTTTGTGACTTATTGTGAACCATAAAAATGAACAAAATTTCACCACTGCGGGTAGCTTCTTTAGAAAACAAGTGTTGTGCTGGATTCTGACTCCCCTTCACATGCTTGCTAGTAATGTAGGCATATAGACTATACATTATATGTGTGATTTCTGTTGTTTATAACAGTTATTTATAAAAAGAACAAAAATTGCGAACATAGTCACAAACATTTCACTTTTATAGTGCACAGTAAGTCATACTGTGCTCCAAACCACATTGACTAGTCTGTGAGATTTTTTCGAAGACCTGGATGCAGTTTGAGCACTTTTTTGGTGTGAATTCACAGAAAAAATGTAGGTGACTATTGACCTCTAGTGTTTGTTACCCTCATAGCTACCGCTCTAAACTAAGGAAGCAAACCAGACATGTCTGATCAACTACATCTGGTATAAAAGGGCGGAAAACAATTGTTTTAAACAGCGTTGTATGTTAATATGATGTCCATACTTTCATTTTGTTTTCCCCAAATCCTTGAAATGTTAAAATCAGTAACTACACTCTTTGTTCAGTTCCTACTCTGCTGTCTTATTGATGATATTTATGATACAGTACTTTTAGAAACTCCACGCTGTAACTGAATACTGTGTCCTGTAATCTCTTTTCAGATCACATATGTGGGCCTAAGACTTGTGCGAATGGAGGCAGGTGTGTCCAAGGCCACAAGTGCGAGTGTCTGCCCGCCTGGACAGGAGCCAATTGCACTGAGGGTGAGTCGCCCAACGAGTAACATTGTAGTCTGTCATGACTTACTATCACATTAGGATAGTCCTGTACTGTTGGCATAGCAGTGTTCTGTAGACATTTCACCTAAACTTGCACTTTTATTTTATGAGATTTAAAATGAATAAGTGATCACTGTCATGAAACTTTTTTGCTGGTCCATCCAGTGCAGCCTTTAGCCACATTCTGATCATGCCTATGTGAAGTACTTAACAGAGAGAAGCCTACCGTGACATTGTTTATTTAGGATGACAGATGAATGATGGTGGTACCTCTGTTGTTCTGTAGATGTGGACGAGTGTGTGACTAATCCGTGCCCTAAAGACTCGAAGTGTGTGAACACCAGGGGCTCATTCACCTGTAAGTGTGCCCTTGGCTACGACCTGGAGGATGGCCGCAGCTGCACACAAGGTAGGTGGTCAAACTCTGGCAGAACAGTAAACATTCGCATAGAACCAGGGACCACTGGGTGTAAAGATCAACGTGAACACTCTTTCGGAAATGTCAAACAACTCAGCTTTCAGAATTAGTGATGTAAATGTGATGCCTTTAACCAACTCATTATCATTAATGTGTCAGGCTGTCGAGCCTAATTAAAACTGTCATTGTGTTATAAATAAATCAGTGGCTTTTGCAGAAATCTAGCTTCAGTGTTTTTGTGGTTTTCCCCCACAGCAAAGACGTTTCTTGGGACATTCAGCGTGAACAGCTCTTCGCACCTCAGGAGCGCTGGTCTGCATGAGCTACACAAGGAGATCTTACAGCTGGTACGCACCAAGAACCACCTTGTAAAACTTACTTGCTTCACTCTAATCATTCATCTATTTGTAGAAACTCAGGTGCCCAAACTTTATTTCTCTGTGCTGTACTAATTAGTTAAGGCAGTAATTTTTTCATAACCACTTACAATAAATGTATTAGATATACAGTGTGTTCCAACATCACATTCATTGAACGTGCTAGACTTAGTGAGATCTCCATCACATCTTCTTGGTTGAGAAGCGAGAGTTTGAATAACACAAAAAGCTTTCTTGTTGTTAATTTACTAATTAAATTAATTTATGATTGCTCACTTGATTTCGTTTTGTATTTTTCCAGTTGGAAGCCGCCCTCTCTGTTCTGCATGGTTATAGACGTTCTACTCTAGAGTGAGTTTTTGATCTATTGTTGTCAAATATTCTGTTTCAACTCAATAATATTAAATATAAAAACAAATGATTTAAAGGAATGATTCACCGAGAAATCAGATTTACACAGTTTTCCACTTAACCCAGATATGTTTGGGTAGGTAGTTGCTAGGGTGTTGCTAAGTGGCTGCTGTGGTATCCCAGGTGGTTGCTCGGATGTTTCTAGGTGGTTGCTATGGTATCTTGTGTGGTTGCTAGGGTGTTTCTAAGTAGTTGCTAACTGTATCTGTGAGGGTTGCTGTGGTGTTCCAGATGGTTGCTAGGAAGTAGCTAGGCAATTACTGTGGTATCCCAAATGGATGGTAGGATGCAAGTGTGGTTGTATTATTGTGATACGGGGTGCACAAGTTTTTGCCCACACAATTCCGCAATTCATTTTCAATGGGGAAAAAAAATCATTTTTCAATAGTAATAATAAAGCTGCATACAAGCACACCATTTCCAATTAGACCTGAACGTTCTGGAGTGTGAATGGTGTCAATATCTTGAAAACTGTGGGATGAGTTAGTTGATGAAAATCTGGCAGAAAAATAAAAATAATAAGAAGAACATACCATTGGGTAGCAATATTGTTATTGTACTCACTAATTAATTCAAGTAGAACTGACACTGGGATGTAAAACTTGACAGGCACAGCACAAGTTTGTTCACACAAAAGCATGTGTCATCAATGCATGTCAGTTATGGTGTTTATTATCAGGCAGATCTTTTGACTTATTTTTTTTCATGTGTAGCGATACAGGGGGATGGAATATCTCTGCTCGGAACATGTTCTCCATGTCTGCAAATGTGACCAGCTCTGAGGTCTACAGCAGAATCCAGACATTTCTGAGAAACTGCAGCAAGCCACACTCTCGCTGCACCCTCAAGCTTCGGCACCAACTCACTTATCAAGGTATGTCTCAGCACTCATTGCTCTTCACACTTTCTCCCACTTCTCTAAATTTTTCACACCTCCTTATATCACCCTCTATCTTTACAACTCCTTTTGACTTCTCTTTTTATTTGTCATCTCCTTTTCATGCAGTTTCACTTTTACTTTGCCAGCATATAAGTTGTCACAGGGAAAGTTAACTTTGAGTGTTTTTCTTTGATGGAGGTTTGCAAAGCAGTATGATTTTGTTCATAATTTTGCTATGCAGATTACATACATTCATTTTCCCCCCAAGATATTAGGTTTTCTCTCAATCACTGAAGGGGAAAATCCCATGTGTTGGTGTACACTTGCATATATTCTGGGTATAATAAAGAAAATGTGTTGAAATACATAATAACATTACAACAGATTTTCAGTCATCACTGTATGTTGTCATCTTTGCTTTGCAGTTGTTTTGTGGCTTTCCACTTGTGTATCTCTCTGCTCTGTTTTGTGGATTTCCTCTTGTGTAGGTTGTCTGTTTTACCTCTATTAATGCACCAAGACTTCAAAATGGATCTATTTACTATTTACTGTACACACTGTGGGTAACTGAGGGTGGCACAAGGTTGTATTGTTTTTATTTTATTTTATTTATAATAGCTAAATAATAGCATAGAATATGGGACTATAACCTAAGCATTCAAAATATTCCACCGTTAAGAGTAAACTAATGATAGAAAACAATGGCATCAGTTTTTGTGTTTAGTATGCCTGAATGAGCAAAAAACAGCTACAACCTTGTACACCCCAGAAATCACCCAGAGCTTGGATAGAATTAAGTTGCATTGGAAAAGAAAAAAAGATTTGTTAGGAGTTAAATAAGCTTCAGTACTTTGAAACCTCTCTCTTCTTCCAGGGGAGAGTCTGTGCCTGTCCAAATACAATAAGTGTGACACACAGTCTTCTGTGTGCAATGATACAAACGGGACTCTATTCTGCCAGTGCCTTGAAGGCTTTTTCAAAAAGAACCCAGAGGACACCACCTGCAGAGGTAGGAACTGCAGACTGGCTTTAAAATTGGACTGTGTTTTAAGAAGCAAAGCTCAGACAGCTGTTTAGAACTTGTATATTCAAAGACTCTCTAACAACTTTGCAATATTGTTGATTTGACTTTTTTTCTGATATTTTCATGTTTCAGACTGTGGTGATGGTTTCGCACTGGTTAATGAAACTTGTGTGGAGTAAGTATTTGCAGAGTAGTCAAAACTTTTCTGTGCATTTGCATTTTTACCATATAACAGCAATATTCTTTTTTAAAACTTGAGATGTATATAATGTTTATTGTCTTTCAGATGTACATTTGGATTTGGAGGTTTCAACTGCAATAACTGTGAGTCATTTTTACGTTTTGATGACAGGAATACATTTTATTTAGTATGTAACTGTCAAGAACTGAGAAATGTTTAATATACATTTACTTTTACATAAAAGTATATCTTCTATGCTTTTCCAAGGCTCTACCTAACTGGCTTTGTTTTTTGTGCAGTTTATGGGCTGATAGCGAAGGTGGTGTCTCCTGCTGCTGGGGGGTTGCTGCTCATCATTATCATCGCTCTCATAGTCGCATGCTGCAGGTACCCATTTACCCATCATGTCATAAATAACAATGAAATAATAAGAATAGACATTAAGAATGCATACCTAAAAGCAACTGTTTCTCTGAAAACTTTATGAATTATTAATATCTTCACACTTAAATTTAACACATACATTTAAAATGGTCCTTTTTGTCCACTCAGGTAATTTTACAGATATATTATTCTGCTTATAAAAAAAACTTTTAACTTCTGGACGTTTTCTGATGATTTGATGAAATAACATTATGCCACAAAACTGTATGGCCTGTATTTAGCCTTACTGTCTCCTTCTGTTACAGAAAAGACAAGAATGACATCAACAAAATCATCTTTAAAAGTGGGGACCTTCAGATGTCTCCATATGCAGAGTTTCCCAAGAGCAGCCGTGTGTCTATGGAGTGGGGCAGAGAGACCATTGAGATGCAAGAAAATGGCAGCACTAAGAATCTCCTGCAGATGACAGATATCTATTATTCAGTGCGTACTCAAGTTATTTTGTACCAACTTTAATTATTTACTTACAAAATGAACTGAAAAACTGTTGAGTCAAAACTCACCTATAGTGTGTGCAGCAACACAGCAAACAAAAGCAATTCCAGTTACATTTTTTTTGCCCTAAGGTTTTCAGGTGAAAATGTGAAAACTCTGCTCACAGTGGTTTGCTGGTGACATATTACCACAAATTCTTCCTTCTGGAAAACTATTCCCATCCCATAGCAACTACTTAGAAGAGCAAATTATACAGATTTACTCCTTTTCTTTGTGAAGCACTTTCATTTTTTTACTGAAGAATTTGTAAAAAGTGTTCTACAAAAAAATGTGTTTCATAAAGATGTTTACTGATGGAATTCAGCGACTGCCCATTGGCTTATAGGGAAGTACATTAAAACTTGTTTTTTATGGTAGATAGGTTGAAAAATGCTGTAGTGTTCCTTTATGTTATCACTTCCAATGAGTTATTTATACATTTCGGCTTTGAGCGTCTCTGGTTTATTTACAGATCCGTTGAATGCATTTGGATCTACTTGTAACTTAGAAAGCTCACATTTTTCTTATTTTTTTGTTTTTATAGCCGGCTCTGCGAAATGCAGATCTGGAGAGGAATGGGCTTTACCCATTCTCCGGCCTCCCTGGTTCCCGCCACTCCTGCATCTATCCAGCACAGTGGAACCCGTCATTCATCAGTGATGACTCGCGACGGAGGGACTATTTCTGACCCCCGAACTCCGAAGAACTGCCTCAGACTGGGGCATGAGGCCTCTTGCGGGGTATGCAGTAATGGCTGCATAGCAAGATGTTGTGATGCTGACCATAGAGCTGGACAACACTGATCACTAAAAGGCCTTTGAATGTGAAAATGAGCTGGCATGAAAATGAGCTGGCAGGAAAGGACAATTATCTGAGTTGGACTGGAGGAAAGCCATAGAGTTCTGATCAGGTCCGTTTGGCATTCACCTGTAGCACGCCTCAGTGAGACTTCAGGTTGTGGTTGTGTTCACTAGTCGAACTTTTGACATTTCACGTTTTTTCATCTAAATGGATTTTCTATTCACTCCTTAGAGCTGTGAAACATACGTGGGGGAATAACACATAATATAAATGCAAATATTAGCAAATATTTTGCACTGCAGACTCTTCACACAGATGTTTTATCTCAAATGGAATAAGCCATAAATGTAACATATTTATATGTGTGGATTGATGCACATACTAGATTGTGTAAATGTGTGTTTAGGTGTGTATGTATGTGTGTGTGCATGTCTGCATGTGCATCAAAACGCTGATGTTGTACAAGTTCTTTGTTTGTTAGTTCTGTGGACACGAGAGGTGAACAGTATTTGTAGAAACTCTATGTAAGCTGTAAAGCTTTTTTAAATCGAATATTGCTGTAGATCATGATATCAGCATATGTAGCAGGACAAAGCCGGTCATTATGTTACTATTTACTTAAAGGTGTGTTCGTCAATTTTGGCAAAAATTAGCTGAAGCTTGAATGCTCTCCCCACCGCGACCCAGAAGGATAAGCGGTTTAGATGATGGATGGATGAATGCTCTCCAATTCTTCCCCCCAAAACATGTGCACCCATGCTTCCTAGGCCTTAAGACCGTCAAAAATCGACTGTCACATATAAAATAACACTGACACGACTAAGTAAGGGAGCTAGCTGCCTGATGTTACCCTTGCTTTAGGTCCTGGTATGTGAGACAATTACCTGTCTAGCAGATATAGAGCAAGGATGGCATCACTGTTAACTAGAGGTACACAATGGTATTGGAATCATATTGGTATTGGCAGATAGTTGCTTGAAAGATTATCAGCATCGGACAGATGTTCAGATATGATCAGTATTTGCTGATGTATTATTGTACATCATAAGAGCAGCACATTTAGGTGATGCTAGGCTGTGGTGCCAAAATACCTGCATTGTATTCATTTTACTGTATTTGTAACCTCTCTATAATGCTAATTTATGTAGTTGAAGGCCCAGTTTCTTCATTTTATAAGTATTTGTGTATCGGCATCAGCAATGTCACATATTTCTGTGAAAAATATCGGATATTGGCATCCACTCACAATTCCCATATTGGTGAATCCTTACAATTGACTTAACTTTTAAGCTAGTGATCATTTTTAGATGAACTAAGCATTGCATGGGACTACGGCTCCCCAGTGTGTGCTGGGTGGACACCTAACCTGATTCTCACACCTTTTGTCCTGATTGTTTGAATGTTGTGTGTTCCACTTCACTCATTTTTTCTCCTGTTTACAGAGCCTGGGGAAGCTACAGAGACTGGATTTTTCCTCTGAGCATATGTTTTATTGACAAAGCAATGGAATTTCTCCAAATATTACAAAAACGTTCCGGGCAAAAATTGATGATCCCACATTTAAGGACCTTCAATGAACAGAAATGCACTTGGTGCTACTTCTTTACATAATGCAGTAAATAGCACTGCAGTAGTGATAAGTAAGGAACAGTTTTGCCTGTTTTATGTAATTTATTCAACTAACTTAATGTCATTTTCGGACACATGCAATTCAATCTGTGTAATTACCATCACCACTGTGTGTGTGTGTGTGTGTGTGAGTGTGAGAGAGAGAGAGAGAGAAAGAGAGGGAGAAAGAACGGTATTGGCCTGATTTTGTGCCAACTACTTGTTAACTCCTGCATGTGTGGTTAGATGTACTATATTTCTGTCAGCAGCTTACTGCCCTTTAATATCAGAGGTATCCTTTTACACATACCAGCAATTTTTCCCTCTCCTGTGGATGGTCACTTAAATCTGGCGTTGTAGTCAGACGTATTTAAATAAAGAAGCAGTGATGTTTAATCTCTTGTCTTTATGGCTTTTAGATAGGCCTTTCACTTTTGCACCTATATCAAACACACAGTTGTGGAGTCCGTAAGCGGTACAGGTGCCAGATGTTATGGATTTGTAGTGCAGCCACTTATTCATATGAGATTAAGCCCACACTTTTTCAATTCTACAAAGAAATGACACACTTTAACTTCTAATGACCATAAACTCCGTTGTGGCTTAGCCTACTTTCTGGGTGATATAGCAGCATGGAAATAAAGGTTCATCAGGGCACCTAGAAGGGCAGGGCTCTGTCATCTCTTTAATGTTAGGTATTTATTTGATTCAGTGACTTCATTCATAGGCCTGTACAACATCCCACTGACACAAAATGGATTCAATACCTCTAGTGCATTGTACATATAAAAAAACAAGACAAGATGGAAAATTGTAATCATAAATTAACTGGGCTTGTCTCCCTATGACACGTTTGTAAGCTTGTTTTTGTATATTGCTTGGTTTCTATTTAAGCCCCACCAACATGATCAATTTCCATTGTAAATGCAGAAGGAAATGGTCACAGTATATTGCACATCATTTTCATAGCTATAGTATGTATGTGTATACAGTATGGAGCTGTAGTGGACTGTTCTGTGAAGGTTATCATGGTACCTGAAAAGAGTAGGTGGTAAGTAGCTATTCGCTCAGTTAAAGGAGGCAGACCACATGATGCAACATACACTAAAAGAAATAATAGGGGTTAGATCACCTTTTGATTTCAGCACTAACAACTAGAATGCAGTACATTTTATCTTCAAAATATGAAATTCAACAGACTGTTAAGATTTATTCATTATAGGTAAAGGTTAGAGTAAGGAAGTCTGGATATTCGGATTCAAATCTATTTATTACAAGATAATAATACCATTTTTAATAAACTTGATATAGATAGTTTCTGTAAATGACCACCTGCTAATATGCTCATGGTCCTCCTCATGCCACCAAAACACCCACCAAGGCATGGTCTCCACAAGACCTCTGAAGGTGCCCTATAGTATCTAGCACCAAGACGTTTGATCAGATTGAGATCTGGGGAATTTGGAGGGCAGGCATCATCTTGAAGTCTTTGTCATGTTCCTCAAACCATTACTGAACAATGGCCCACATTTATGAAAACTCAGAGTAAAACATGCTGATTTAGGCTCAGTTTATGCCTTTTCCATAGCACCGAATAAGACTACATGGATTGATGTGCCTTGATCTTAAATCAGTGTTGTTACTCTTACACGCTCGAGAAATACGGGCCAAAATGTGTAGTGTGGCAGGGCGCTTCGTTGCTCTCATGCATCGATGAGTCTTGGGCACCCAATATACTGTTGCAGGTTCAAGGATTGTCTCTCTTCAGACTGCTGTTTCTCATCACTGCTGACCAGGAACACCCCACAAGCCTTGCAGTTTCGGAAATGCTTCAGCCTCGTCATCTGACTATAATGATTTGTCCCTTGTGAAGTTGCTCAGCTCTTCACACCAGCCCTTTTCTCCCATGTCCAAAATGTCTACTACTGTTCACTTACCATCTAATATATCCCAGACCTTGACATGCATGGTCGTTATGACAATCAAAGGTACTTGCTTCATTTGTGAGTGTTCATAATGTTTTGGTTCATTGGTGCACAACATGTGGTAGCAAAGTGAAAGTGAAATATTGCATTGGACAGATATGGGACTGCAATGCCTTTTGTTAGCTTGTTTGTTAGCTTGCTAACCCACTAATCCAGCTTCACTAATCATACATACCCCCACAATAAGCTTCGAACACTCCAGTGCCTGCACACAGCTGCTTTTTCTGAGGGAGTGACAGATGAAGAGGGAGGCACCTTCTCACCCATGCTGAGCATATATGGCAGACTTCTGGACATCAGCAGGTCACAAAGACAAGGCAAGCAAAATGGCTCCTAATGATTCTCAGACTGACCCTGCTGAAATAACTTATGTCGTTTTTGCCTCTGTGAACATCGCTGTCTCTGCTGCCTGCATGCTCATGAACGTCTTTTTTGTTTTCTGTATGGTCTTTCCACAGCAAGGAACAGAGCGGCTCAAACAGCCTCTTAACGTTTTATTGGGATCGCTTGTTGGGAGCAACATTGCTCTTCATGTCTTCACCCTTCTGTCTGTTGTCTCAGACTTCATGTCATCATCAAATTCATTGGTTTACGATGTTGGAACAGCAGTCATGCTGTTCACCATGAGGACCAGTATCACCTCCATCCTTTGGCTGAATGTGTTCTACTACTGCCAGATTGTTCCTGCTCAGCATCCTTTCTTCATCTGGTTGAAGAAGAATATCAAAGTCTTCATATACTCTGCTCTGATCATGGACAGGATGTTCTTTCTGTATGGCTTCACTGTAGCGGTTGCATATCTTGTTAAACAATTTGAAAGCAGTACTGACAAAAACACTGCCTTCATAAATAATACCACTGATCCATATATGGATGTAATGTTCAAAACATTGCTACTAGATTTCTGGTTAAGATTAATTTATTTCTTACTCAGTCTTTGTGTGATGCTGGCATCAAGCTGTGCAACTGTTCTCTATCTGCGGAGACACATGAAGAGCATGCAGGACAGCAACAGCTCCTTCTCGTTTCATCTGCAGAAACAGATGAGGGTGACCATGACAGGCATCATACAGGCTCTACTTTACTTCTTCTGCTCAGCTTCGATGGTGGCTAATGAAATTCTTTCATTTGTAATCCCTCCGCAGTACAAGCTGCATGAGCATATTCTTTGCACCATTATTTTATTGTATTCTTTTGGGACAGCCGTTAACATGAGTATTGGTCAGTCAATATTTCGCCAGCGTGCAATCAATGTTTGGGAAAATATTCTCAGTTTTTTACTTGATTGAAGTGAGCAAAAATGTCAAAAGAGAATCTGGAGTAATTTTGCAACATTTGGGGATCCAAACAAAGCTTTTTTCTCCTTTCTTTGTGCATGTGCTTTACTGTTTGCCCAAAGGCCCAGTGTTCTTCTCTTATCTTCTTGTGCTTATTTACAGTCTAATGCAAACATTTGAACACCCCCAGTCAAATTACATGTTTTGTTGAGTGAAAAACTTATATATGGCATTTTTCTGCAAATTTTTAGTGCACACTTTTTATTTATTTGCTAGATTTGACATGAAAAACATGCAAAAACTTTTGCAGAGGTGACATTTAAAAGTTTCTTTTCCATTATGCTAAATTCAGCAAATAGACAGTAATTGGGTACTGAAATGTGCATTCTCTGTAGATGTGTTGGCTTATTTTCAATTAGAAAATCAATAAAACATCATTTGACCGGGGGCGCCCAAACTTTTGCACATGACTATATGCATGGAGCAAAATAAATTTCTTAGTCTTTTATAAGCTTGCTGCCAAGATCCAGAGGCTTGATATGTTCAACAGACCTGGAAAAGATTTTAGACCTATAAATAAATTCAAATAATACAAATAGGGCCATGAGCACGAAAATCTGGTCACATATTTTAAACATGTGGAAACTGGTGCACATCCAGGTTGGGAAAAGTAACTGACTTTCACTTATAATCTCAGTAATCGGCAACAATGATGGTAGCAATCACTGCAATGCAATGTTCTATAGCTTCATCTCTGAGACCACACACTTCTCACACTTAATAAATTCCATACAGTAACAGCTTATGTCATGTTCATGTGTGTCTTGTATTGCTTTTCATGATGTCATGCACTCTGCTTCTGGAGCTCTAAGCTACACTTTTTGGCAGCATCATTCAAACATATGCAAGGCATTTGACAAACCAATGACAAAAGCAGACTAAAGCAATCAAACTCCTGTTCAAATCCATCTGTGTAAGAAAGTGTAAATGTACAGCATTATGCTGTTAAGAAGATGTTTATCCATCGAAAAACATGAACATTTAATTGTAATAGAGAAGGTGATTAAAAATGTGCATGTTATTTTTTATGTTCATTTGAAACCTTGCTGGGATTTATGTAGGGATACAGTTGAATACCTTTACTCAATTTCCAGAAGAAATCATATTTTTTTACTCTTTACACTTTCATTTTGACCTTTTTTTTATGTTTGTTTTGAACCTCAGAGGCAGGAGATTTTTCATTTTCTCTCTTGCCAGTCAGTTGGGTTAGTCTGCTTTTGAATCCATTCTTTTTATTAAAACATACAATCAAATTTATATCACTGTAAAATGCCCACTGCGCATGACTATGCTAATCTGTGTTTGTGTCCTGCTGATTTGTCACAGCATCACACTCCACCAAACACAGAAAACTCTTTATTCATTTGTTAGAACATCTACTTTATACTTTATATACCTGAGTGTGTTTTAATGTTGATACTTTGTGACTTTCACTCAAATGCACTGAGTAAGATTTTGATGAAGCACTCATACTTTCACTTGTACAGTTTCTCTGTATTTTTCCTGGATTTAACTACTGTACTTTTCAGTGGTCTTTTTCAGTGGTCTTTCCTGATGTACATATAATATTTAATATTTCATGTTTCATATATGACCTGGCAGCTCTGTCTGGCTGCTAGTGTTAGCTATGACCTACAGCTTGGGAATTTATAACAGCTACATTAAAGCTATTTAAACTGATGACAAAGCTTCTGTCATAAAGCATTAGAAATGGATCTAACACTTTTCACAGAATCTGCAGGTTTAAGTTTTTCTTTTCCATGTATATATTCTCTCTGTATAATGTACTCCAGTACACTTATCAGTGACTTTTAGGAGTTAGTTTTGGTTGCTTGCAGTAACTTTTCAATTAAGCATGTTTTTTGTGTGTAAGAAGGCTGTGTGCTGTTACAATTCCCACTGACCATTTACCATGCAAACTTTCTATGATAAAAGCCATGTTACTTTGGAAAGAGTGATTTTGTGAATTGTCACTGTAAAAAATAAAATAAAAATAAAAAAAACAACCTTCATTTTTTCAACTTTTTTTTCTGCATCATTTGAACACGACAGCTGTCCTTTACATTGTGTGAATATTTCGTGATGAATTGACCAAGAAAAATGCTCCAAAAGTACTCTGAATAACATTTTTTACAATAACTTACATTAAAAGTTAAGAACATTGTTAGTAACTCCTATAAAGCTAGTATTTTGCAGAGACATGTTTTTGTTTTGTTTTGTTTTTTGGACAACGAAGCATATTTTGTCAGATTTAAATGAGAATACGTGTTTTTTGGTCTTGACTATACATGTGTTGTGTATGTTAGCCCAGTTGTGGCTAAAAGTTTGTGATAGAAGAAGGAGATACACACTATATGAGCTGTAATATGCACAGACTATTGTAATATAAAATACTTTGCTGCGCTTGTTCTACCCTTATTACAGTATAACTACAATAAATTAACCACTGAATAATGAGTTTCATTTTTTTAAATATGAAATAGCTGTTACAGCAGCGTGTTATACATGTCTGAATTCTAAAAACTGTTGCAAGTCACATTAAAAGATAAAACAAACAAATGAACAAACAAACAAGACAAGCCACAACTTGTGATGGGCTAACAGACATAGGCAGTCAGGTCATCACAAGTTGTGGGAGGAACAGACCTGGGCCCCCTTGTAACGGGGTAATATTTGGGACATGTATTTGCTTTGGGATGCTTTGCTCACAGGACCAGTTTTGGTGGGCAATAAAGAAATACTGTAACAAGAAATGAACTGACTGCAGATTCCTAATAGAACAAAAACATACATTTAATATAAATTTCAACCAGTGATGATTCCCTCAAATTCAATGAGATTTGCATCTTCAATTGTACTGAAAAAGTTACAGAAGAGATGTGAAGAGAAAGTGTATTTCAGCTTACTTTATTCATCCATCCATCCATCCATCATCTAAACCGCTTATCCTTCTGGGTCGCGGTGGGGTGCTGGAGCCTATCCCAGCTGTCATTGGGCGGAAGGCAGGATACACCCTGGACAGGTCGCCAGTCCATCACAGGGCAGACAGACAGACATACACATTCACACACACACTCACGTCCAATCAGCCTGACTGCATGTTTTTGGACTGTGGGAGGAAACCGGAGTACCTGGAGGAAACCCACGCAGACACGGGGAGAACAGGCAAACTCCACACCGAAATGACCCTGGTCACCCGGCCGGGAATTGAACCCAGGCCATTCTTGCTGTAAGGCCGTGCCGCCCTTACTTTATTCACTGATTATTTATTTGGTTAGTTAGTTATTTATTTGAGCCCCTCTAATGAATAACTATACATTAACTATTCCACTTTTTTTGGATTAGCAGTAATTTTATTTTTGTACAAGCTTTACATCACAAAGTCAAACTATGTTGTCTTCATGTTTTAGTGACCCCTTCATTTTAAATACAAGGCATCCAACAATGCCATACTATGCTTATATGATTTTACAGAAATGTCACATATACAGTTTTTTGTTATTTCCATATTTAAAAAAAATTAACTAGTCTTTACTCAGTAGTTAGTTTACTGTAATTACAATGCTCCCTGCACTGTCATAAGGGCACTTTTATCCTCCATTTTGCAGAGAAAATATTAAAAACATTTCACATTTAAATGCTTGAATGAAGCAATATTATCTGTCATTACTGTAATACTTTATTTATATTATTATTTTTGTAAACGGGGTCAAATACACTCAAACATTAGATCATGGCAGTAAAAGAAACAGTTTGTAAGTGCATTTCTTGAATAAAGTTAATGTAACTAAAATCACTTTAGCATTTTAGAGCTGCTTAAAAAAGATACATTCAACTGTACAACTAGCTGGTAAAGAGATCAACTACATTTAAATCTAAATCTTATAATTTATTGCAGTATAGCAGAGAGTTTCCAGTGCATTATTCAAAATGAGCTCTCTGGCGACCTCTGTAGGCAGAGTCGTTCTACTACCTTTTCTGGTCACGCCTTACACATAAACTTCACACACTTCTTACCCGTTTCACACGTTCACATAAACCTCTCTCAGCTCTGGGTGAATCAAAATACAAGAGTGATTATGTAGCTTCTGAAATGTACTGTAAATGAAACACAGCACATTAAGCTAAGCTACATTACTGTTTATTTTGTTGGAAATGTGGTTATGTTAAAAGTGCTGTTGCATGTGCGCCAAATGTTCTGTCATGGTTTGAGTTTATGAGCATTTAAACACTATTATCCCACGACACTGAACACAGTCTGCAGTGTGAATTTAGGAGTATGTGCTGTTTACATTGTAAATACACACAGAATGGAAATGGTATTTTCTGTAAGAGCTACATCAGGAAATTCTGAACAATGAGGAAGAAATCTGAGGAGCTCCCTTTTCCTGGGGAGAGCTTATTATAAAGGAAGGTAAACAGTTTCCGCATCCCATAAACCTGGCTTTTAATGCCAGTGAATGCCATTTTTTCTCTACTGAAATGAGTTTCACAGATTTTCCTGCATATGTGCCTCTCTTACAGTCAGATTTTACAGGACATACTAGTAGCAGTGGCTGTTACAGTAGGTGATGGTCTGTTAATCAGTATGGTTGAATGATCAAATTTGACCTTTCACATCTCCTAAACTGACGGTCTTAATATTTAACTATTTTCCAGCAGAGATTATTCTAGTCAGTGGGGATATGCTGTATCTTTATCTGCTCACAATGCATGCAGATCATACTGCAAGCAAGCAGTGATGGTTACACAGTGGCTTCTTGATTCTTGTCTTCACCTTAAGCCCTTAAAATCCCAGGCTTATGCCACACTAAAGCTTATTATTCAGGAACTACGCAGACTACAATGGTTGAGCTACTCTTAGGTTACGAGGTTAGAAGTTAAGTTAGGTTAGAACTGTGTAGTAAAACGGTTGCTGGCAGGCCTTGGTAATTTAAGGGGTTAATGTAAACAAAACAGTATGTATGTGAAATATATATATATATATATATATATATATATATATATATATATATAT